GGCGTGCACACCACGGTCCCGGGAATGTCTGCCTCTACTGCTCTGCCCCCAGGAATGATCTCTGGCAGCCAATGTATTAATCATCTGGTTCAGCTCGGGTGGAGTCTTAGTGAGAACATCCCCTCCTGGGCATAGAGACTCAATCACCCTCTGGCTGTCTGGAGAGAGAGCACTGTAGAAATTCCCCACTGTGAATGCATCACTGAAGCCATGATGGGGGCACTGCCAGAAGTAGCCCATGTACCGCTCCCAAGCATCACGCAGTGACTCATCTGGCTCTTGGCGGAAGTGAGTGATCTCCCGCTGAATCTCTGTAGTCTTCGATGCCGGATAGTACCTGTGCACGAACTTTTCAGCCAGATCGTCCCAAGAGGTGATGGACAATGGGGGCTGGGTCTCCAACCACCTCTTAGCATTCCCTGCCAGAGAATGGGGAAAGAGATGAAGGCGGATTGCATCATCCGGGACACCGTTCAGCTTGAACCCGTTCGTCAACTGCAGAAAACGGGTAAGATGCACCCTGGCCTCCTCACCCTTCAAGCCATGGAACTGGATAGAAGATGTAATGAGCTGAATCCAGCATGGCTTGATCTCGAAGTTGTTTGCTGGAATAGGCGGGTAGAGGATGACCGGGCGGATGTCAGCAATCCGAGGAGTGTAGTAGTACTCCAAGGTGGGACCCGGCTGCGGTGGATGGTGAACTCCATGATCCTGGGGTATGGGGTTGTTCCTCAGGACCTGATTCACCGGGGGAGCCTGCTGAGGATTCCCCTGGTGTTGATTGTACTCTCCGTCCATCCCGTGCTCTTCTTCAGAATCACTGCTCACGTGGCCGTCTATGCGCTCTTCCGTAGCCAGTCTAGCTCGCTGTTGTCTCCTGAGCTGGCGACAGGTGCGGTCAATCTCTGGATTCAACGGCAGTAAACCTCCCGACTGGCTACGGGTCATGCACTACCTGCACACTCTCAAGCAAGCAAACCCGTGAAGGCACAAGTGGGACAAAGCAAACAAAGCAAAAAAAAAAGGGCTAAATTAACAGAAATCACTTTTTTCAACAACCTAGCCGTCCCCGGCAACGGCGCCAAAAACTTGACTCGACTCTACTGTCACCCTAGGAATTGGCCAAGTGAAACCACTTCCTAAAGCGTAGTATAGCGGGTTAGGTTTGTATGTCAACCCGGGTCCTAGATCTGATGACTACTCGGTGAATTCTTGTTATCTAGCAATGAAACTAGAATGCAAGCCTAAACTATCAAACTAACAAAGCAAGTAAACGGTTGTATTCAGGTTAAGAGAGGTCACCCGGATATGGTTCCACCTAGACTGCAGTTAAGCCGGATTGTAATTACCAAGTTCAGTTTCTATGAAAGTTATACTGCGGAAGGTTCTTAAACAGCCTGAAGTCTCGACTAAAGGTCTTCAGACCCTCTCAATCTGAATCTCTAGCGGGCGACTAACCTCCACCGGAGTAGACAGATTGAGGCCCTAAGAACGAAACCTCCACTACCGGAGTAAATCCGGTACAGAATAGTGAGTTGGTTCCTCGACTAAAGTCACCAACTCCCTACCTTCAATCAAGGATACTCTATTAACCTAGGCAGATATTCTCATTCTAGGCTAAAGCAGAAACAACATGAATTTGATCAGGATTCAAGTCATTCAATCATTAAAACCTCAATCGAATATAATCAATCATAGAATCAGTACTTGGGTTCATACAATCAAACCTAACATACAAATCTAGGGTTCTCCATACCCAGATGAATGGGAGAACTACTCCATGGAGAAGAAAGCAAACGCAGAATCAGACACGGAATTCATACTGCGAAGGATGGATTCCTGCTTCTGGACGTTGATTGGCACTTCTCCAAGCTCAAGCTGGCCTCCAATGGTGTTGAAGATCAATCTAGGGCACTTGGGAACTCTTGCTCGTCACTTTCTCTCTCTAGGAATCATTCTATCTCTCAAAAACTCGAATCCCCTTGACTTGTGGCTGAAAATCTGCTTAAAAGCATCAGTGGCCAAAGCACGGTCGAGGACACGGCCGTGCTTTTCCTGAGTCCGCCCGTGCCTCGGCCAGGCTTAATTACACGGCCAGCAGTTGGGAGAAACACGGCCGTGCTTCGCGTTGGACACGGCCGTGCTTTGGTGGAACACGGCCGTGCTTTGGTGCCCGTGTTTGCAACTGAAATTGCCAAACCAAATTTGCTCTCGGCATAAAAAGCACGGCCATCAGTACCCGGCCGTGTAATGCCTTAGGTGTGCCCGTGCTTTGGCTCCAGCTCACCGAAATGACTTCCGAACGCCCCGAAACTCGCGCTTAGCCTTCCCTTTGACACCTGGGACCTGAAACATGACAAAATAGCACAACCCGGCGTAAAATAGGCCAAAACACACGACTATTCCCCTCAAACGGATAAGAACTAGGGGCGCAAACATGTGCAATTACATCGTTATCAGATACACATGTGATTCGCGAGACAATACGACCAATTTACTTTTATATATGCTCAATACCTGCCTCCATTACCTTGTCTGCCTAACACTCAAGGTCCACTACAAGATTCTGGGTCCGTCCGACCTTGCCACTCGGACCACACACACTCCATCCCCAAGTCTGCAACAAGGCACAAACAGTTTAGGTCGCAATGCAAGAAGTTAAAACTCGCTCCGTCTCACAAAGCTGACTTGGGCGATCCGCCTAAAATCATGCTCAGAAGTTACGCAGTCCACTCCGCCTCACAAGGCCCACGTCCTAGGCAATCTCCGCCTCATTATGTTTCATCGAGGCTCATGTCTATTCATCATGCTTTGTACATCTAACACGGATTGCCTCACTTCCAAGGCCCGTGGTGCTTTACATGGGGCGCCTCCAATGTCCACCTTAACTCAGATTTCATCAAATGCCCCTTCATGCATCACATGGACCACCCCTAACCACATAGGCCCGCCGCTGCCTTCGACTCACTTCCTCTCCCATTAAGTTTCAACAATCTTTAAAAAAGAAACACTTTCACTCGAATTTGAACCGATATCTTGGATTCCACATGCAAAAGAGCTAACCAATACACCACTAGGCCCCCTTACACATCCTATTTGCAGTTCCCAACACTTAATCATCTCCTTGCTACCTCTCCTACAACTTCCTCCCAAGATACAAGCATTCACCCCACCTTCGAACGATGCTCCCGTCCTGGGCATATATTTTCTGAAAAATATAAATACCATAAGAATAACTTTGGATTTTTAAAACCGTTTTTTCATAAGTTCAAAATCATAGCTTCTTCTTTTATGTTATGAAAAATCCAAACATAGACGTTAACACTTTTAATTTTTTTCAAAAACCGAGCTTATAGAATACTATTACAAAATTAAATTTATCAATATAATACTGTAAAAAATTTTATCCAAACATATTGTTATAATTTCATTAAAAACATATTGTTATAACTTTTTATATAAGAGTGATATAGGTTCTTATTTTTTGTGACTAAAGTACTATTTAAGAGATTCAAACACGAGACTTTCAAATTCTAGACTAGTGGTATTACTATTAGATCAAGCCATGTTCATAATATATTGTTATAATTTGAATATATAAAATTGATACCCAGCACAAATGTTAGAACACGAAACAAAGTGGTAGGTGAGGGCAATTACTTTTATCATTTTCGGGTCTAAATTAAATTTCATTCACCAATCTCTACCAACCATTTGAATTAATGTTAGCTGTTGGTTTGTGATAAATTGCACCAATAATTTGATTAAAGTACACTTAATTGATTACCCAATTTAGCCAGACAATCAATGAATAAGCAAATGTGACCTATTAATAAAAATTCTCAGTGCATTTAATCATTGCCACATTCTTTTGCGGCCCAGATCAAAGAGGAGCTCCAACCGTACAACGTTGTATAGTGGTTTTGGTAATTTGTCCCTCCTAAATGTATCATAATGGCTGATTATATATGAACTGTAGCAACCAACTAGCAAGTTCTGTTCTGCCTTCGGCTTTCTGCTCCTTTTATGTGAAAAGAGACCAATGTAATGAAGTTTTCATGGGAGGGGAAGTGGTTGCTCCATTTCCATTATTTTGGATGTTCATAGATACATAATGGCTACGAAAGCCAACTATGTGCATTTCACTTTTGTGGCATGATGACCATATTCTATACTCTATGATCCCAACAATTGATGAACTTAAAGGAGAAGTGAAGGATGCTATACCTTTCTCCCGAGTTCGTATTATTCCGAATAATTGAGTTTTAACATTCACCATTGAATTCACCGTTCAATTAATCCAATTCATAAATCCAATCCATATGTTATTTAATCCTTATGATTCCAAATGATAAAGTGATAATATGATTGAGGGCATCTATTGTCCTTCCCAAGTTTTAGGTTCATTGAAATGTGATAAATCTTCTAATTTGAAACTAAATGATATCACAAACTTTTGTAATCGCCAATGTTTGATTTAGAATTCAAGAATTAAACTTACGTGGGCACAAACAAACAAACATGAGCTATAATTAGGTAATGCATAGCATTTGGTTTAGAAAATTATCGTCAATAATTGGCACCTTTTTTTGTCGCCATGATCTGTTAAAGGAAGGTGATGAGCGCAGAAGAATTATATTGCAGATACCATGTGTAAACCCAGCTTAACTCCATGTTCTGCCAAAAATTAGTGGGGGAATTGCGTCAAATAAACAAAACCTGGCAATTTTGTATTACTAGTAACCGCTGCCTGAATGCTGATGGTATATAAATTAATTTTGAGTGGTTAATTAACTTCTTGATGATGGCAGCATAGCACAAATACATAAGCCTGTATATAATGCAATCAAAATTATATATCAATCAATTTTTTCCTCCGGTTTTGATTGGTGTATTATCCATTGAATATATTATAGTATTTGAATATTGATATCTTATTGGTATGCTATCGATTAAATCACAATTTTATCAATATAAAATACAACTTGCTAACTTGTACTGTACAATGTGCAGTGTGTGTTTCACACAATTGCACTAGTATTAAATACCACTCGCTAACTTGTCCAGTGTAATATGTTGTGAGACCTTTGTTATGAGGGTGATATAATATAAGTTTAGTTTTGTAATTAGATACTACTTAAAATATTCGAATTTTGTATCTTCGTATTGAATATCAACACTAAAACCATGTTGGACCAATTCCTTTGTTGGCCAGAATTTGAGACCAGAAAAATAAGTCATCATGGTCAGGTGTATGACGGCAAGGTTGAGAGTTTTCTTTGTTCCAATCCGATTCAGGCGGAAGCTTATGCCATCCTTAATGCAGTGGTTCTGGCAGCTCAGGAACCTTGCCCCGCATCCATCAAATCTGATTGTCAGGTTTTGGTTAATGCTTTGAGGCAAGATCCGGACTCTTGGCCATGGCAATGCCGGGCTATTTTAGTTCGTGTTACTCCCATCCTCCTCTCAACTCCCTGCATGACGGTTGAGTTTGTCCCTCGATGCCTCAACGCGTTAGCCGATTGGGTGGTGCGTAATGCTCGTTTGAATCTTCTCCCAAGAGAATGAGTTGTAATTGCTGATCTTTTAACTATTCTACTGTAATCTTTTGATGTTTCCCATGATTTGGTTTGGAATAAAGGTGTCACTATTTGTAAAAAAAAAAAAAAAACAAACCACCCACACTCTTATTGGAGGTACTTCTCCTAATAACACTAACACCAACTTGGATCCATCCAATTGTCAAAAAAAAAAAAAAACTTGGATCCATCCATATATATATATATAAAATCATAAACCCAGTACTCAACCATACGTAATAATTTCATTATTTGTATGTCGATGATTTGCCCATGCTTGTTGACAAGTTATCCTCCCCGTATGCATAGAAGTATAAACACAACTATATAATTATTAATTACTTGATCAACATTAATTAATGTTGACGTTATCCATAAAACCACTGGATCCGCCATAATTATTTAGTTTACGTATTGCTTTCAAGTTTCAATGGTAACAGTAGGTCAAGTTTTCATGAATGTCAACCGACAGACGTATGAAGCAGGTGAATATTCGTTCTCCAATATCCATCAGAAAACAGTAATATATAGCTCGATTTAATTATAGTATGTGCAATAATTCGTTATATTTTGTAATTATTTGTTAAAATTGTATATAATTATTGCTAACAATTTAGAAAATATTGGTGTAGAATGGCGTATTAGATTTAGTGTGTAAAATTTTAAGGAAAATGTAAAACAAGTTTCAAAGTAGGATGACAAAAAATGACCCAAATAAATCCCAATAGTCCTGTTGATCACACCAATTGAAGCAAATTACCCATCCACTCATCGACATCCCTAACTCAATAGCTCACAAAGTTGTTGAGCTATCGAAAAATATTGATATAAAAGATTCAGTTTGTAGATGATCTCGATCCCCCTTTGATATTGACTGCATAGCTTCATCTAACTATGCTTAGGAGACAACTAAGTGTCGCATTATTCCATCGACGTGTTCCTAATATCTAATTCGTTGCGCGGAACCCTTAGTCCACTTGATCACTACAATTGAATCAAATTACTCAATAAATCGACTCATCGACATCCCTAACTCAAGCTAGCTAGGGTTAGCGCACCCACTTGTACCACAAGTCCACAATTAATGGCTTCAAAATCCCATTGACTCGATCGCAAAATGAAGCAATATATATACTTTCTTTTTTATCTTTCAATTAGGGTGACGATCCAAAAATGAAGGCTATTGTTATATATTATTGTGTATCTATCTATCTATAATATGGAGAAGATAATAATTGGAAGATCCATTATATTCCTGGCGCAAAAAGTCTATATATAGTAAATTAAGCAACATGATTGAGGTTGTACACTCGGAATCCATTCATGGATAGAGTCAGCTTGTTGATGGTCAACCTAACCTAACCGATGGAGAATATTACATTCACATATATGTTGGCCAGAAACTTACACGAATGAGAATATTACGTGTCTCTCGATAGTAACAGCATAAATAGTTAGTTAGTTAATTTGCGAAAGTACGTACGTACTACTCTTTAATTATGCGTGGTGATGGAGTTTAATTGGGTACGTCGTCGTCATCATCGCAGTAATTTTCTAACTAACCACTAAAGGAGATAATGAGGCCAACTCACGACTTTCCTCGCACATCGCTCTCACTACATTTTTTTTGTTTTTTACCGTGTGTATTTAGATCAACACCTTAAACAATTCTGAATAATTTGTATTTCATCATTATAAAATATTGAAATTAACGTATTGACATACTTTCAAAAATTGTAATGAACCACATTTTTATTGTAATTGCAAGCAATTTATCAACGATTGTTGGCGGTCGTATGCAATTAAATTTGAGTTGCAAAATATGCGATAAATGTATTTAAAAAACCTCTCGCATTATACAAATTTGATGCTCGTTGTGGAAAATAACGAAATTGTGTACTCTATAATAAGATATTTTTACTTGTTTATTTTTTATCAACTAAAACACGTCTTTAAAGATCATGGGCATGTATTATTGTCAAGTCCTTTCATTTTGTTCCGTTACTTGATGGCTCCCGTACTAAATAGGTATACAGCATGTATAAAAAGTTCAATATCCGTATTAATGAATTAATTTGTTAACTTTAATATTATTTATATATTTATTTATTTATAAAATAATTAATTTTATATATCTATGACTATTGACGTAGTATTAAACGTACATTAGATTTAAGACGAAGTAAAATACCTATATATATTTTATACATAACTTATCCGTACTGTAATTTACTAACCATACTTGCAGATTAACCTCTAAATAAAAAGTACTTGCAGATAGGCTAAAAAGGATTACGTGAATCATAGCTATATTAAATTTATGTCTAAACTTTAAGCCGAAAAATGCATTAGATTCGGGAGACCATGAGAGAAAAACATGGCGAAATATCTTAATTTTTGCATAAGTATGGCTATATATGACATATATATTTTTGGATACGAACTCCAACCAATAGTTGGAACACGGGTTGGGTCGTGTTCTACGGGTTGTGTAATCCAAAATCCAAACTCAGCCCAATAGAGGCGGGTTGTACAAAAGAAAACCCTCACCCAACCCAAAACCTTCATTTTAGCGATAAATACGGGTGAGTTGGGTCTGGTTGGACGGGTGGGTCGGTTTACGGGTGTGTATGTTCACCCCTGCTTGCATATTAAATTTGGCTCAAGGTTATCAACCCGCGGGGTGACTCGCGGGTCGACCCACTTTGACACTGACCCGGTGAGAAAAACGGGTCGTACGCACCCGTCGGGTCGACCGCTACAAGGTACCAGGTTGGAGGTCAAATTGTATCATTTTTTTCTTTGGTTTGCGAAATGCGCTTATTTTCTGATTTTTCTTTTCGCCTAACTCAATCTTTGGAATCTTAAGTTGAACATTTGAATATTTATGTTATATAAGTGTGTGTGAATTTTTACTATATGTTGGATCTAAGTACGATATGTTATTTTGGTGTAATATTATATATTATAACTCATATGTTAGATAAGATTTAATATAATTTATGAGGATAAGTACAATATAATGACTCTTTCCATATTTCCGGGCCAAACCGGACTAAAATGGTTGACCCATTAACTCTTAACCTACTAACTCGACCGGGTCCGAGTCAACCCGCGGGTTGACAACCTTGATTTTGGCTAAAATGGTCAATGGCATCCACTTCTTGAATCTAGTTTGCTTGAATAATCTGTTTTGATATTGATTATTGAACGTTATCCTATGGGTTTTCCCCACACACAAAAAAAAAAAACGTTATCTTACTTGTGTTTGCTCTGTGATTATTATTCGACCTCTGAATTTTATTATTATCCATAGTTTTAGAAAATATCATTATTGTTCGACCTCCACGGCTGTTAACCTCAGACTTAATTTGAACTTTTATATTGGTTGACCTCCAACACACATTATTGACAATATCATATGTATATGGCTATCATGGCAGGAGCAACTCTCACACAGATTGAAGAATTGATGTCATTGACAAATTTGTTGTAAATTAACTATAATTGAGAGGATTGAATTATATATGAGTATTTATAGACAGAAAAAATGGGAATGGCTTCAGTGATGATTTGTCGGTTTTGCGTGAAACCTACTCGTATTTACTTTTGAATTCCTCCCCAAAAGTTATCACACTAATGATCTAGTTGGATATATATACAAGGGGGTTTTTTTTTTTTATCTTTGATATGGTATTTGGAATAATGTACCTAGCACAAGCTCTAATAGTTTCTCTTTATTGAAACTAGATGGACTTTGTCCATAATCCATTCTTTGCTTTAAGTACTTACAGGTAACAAATCCGTGAAACCCATGGATTTTGAAGGTCAAAATTCGTGGGCCCCACGGATTTGAAAATCCCACCTCTTCAGGGTTGTTTGCTTCGTGGATTTGAAAAATGAAGGTTTTGGTATAATTTGGATTTTGAAAAATCATGAATAAATGAGGGTTTTGGGTTCATTATGGACTTGAAACATACCATTATTCCCACATAAGGATCAAAATCGACAATTTAATAATTTTTATATGTATAAAATTGATTCATATTTAAAATAATAAGTTTATGTCATTTTATAATTAATTCCAAATGTGTAAAGTACTGTTATGCAAAAATAGCATAAAAATCCATCGGTAAATATGTACTTATTTCGTATTTTACTAATCGATGCTTCTTTATCTTCCATCTGCTTAGTATGTATCACAGTTTTGTGATTAATACACTACATGTATTGGTCGGACTGGTGTACTCCTAAAGTATTACTATACTACAACTACTCCTAGTGAGATATCTCTATCTATAGTATGAATTAAATCGATGTTTTGGATACGATACTATATCCTAACTTCTAATACATAAACTACATGTCACAATTCTCGAAACCCAAATTCAAAATTTAATTTAATAGAAAATAATAGTTAACCGTTGAATTTAATCGCATCTTATCACAATACATCTAACCAACATATCATATGAAATATACTAAACTCGTCACTATACATTTCTTTACCATATATATGTGGATTTGATTGATATATATGGTGCGTTTGACAAGTGCGCGCGCTTATGTGGGCTGGATTCAGACTATGTACATGCATAACACACTTGCTTATCAATCAGATTACGCCATTATAAATTATTTCCTAAATAATAACCGAAATTAAGTCTGGTGGACGTAATCATGCAGTAAACTATTCCGTAGTTGAATGTTAATGTAATATTAATATATTCATATACCAATTAGTGGATGAAATTCTTTTCTGTGTTTATATAAAACGTAACTCTAAGAAGGAATGAAAGTAAATGGGTTGTTAGCCATGTCACCTAAAGGATAAACGAATTTTTTTTCCCCCTTAAAAATTAAATAAGCAAACAAAGCCAAAACACTTGTCCTTACATCATATACCACAAACTTGGTTCTAATATGATATATAACTCTTCCACGAAACTATTTTTTACGCCAAACTAAAGAGAAAAACTAATAAAAAGTTTAAATTTATTATGTGCGTAGAAATGATTGAACGAAATAACAAAGGTTTATATATAATTATCTAATTTTTTTTGACTAATGACAATTATTGGAATGGATTATCAAGTTTCATTTTACACGATGTGATATATTTTATGAATTAGATAATTATTGATATTGGTTTTTTACTAGTACAAAATCACAATTTTGTATGAGTTTGGCGAGTTTAGGTGTTAAGCAATTTATATAAAGGTTGTTGTAATTGTCAATTTTGTGCATATGCTAGTTTCTGATATGGAAATTTCTTAAATGAAATATCTAGTAGTAGTGTTGAGTTTTACTCATATTGTTTCACAAAGTTTTTTGTAAGGATTTTTGGTCACCATATAAGACGATGAAATTTGCTACTAACTGTTGAGATAAAGCCGTCTGCCATCAAATCGGACATCGATCATCACAATTCAGGTTTGATCATCGACCACCATATCGTTGACGAATTCTGGTGTTCAACATCCGAAAACCTAAAAGACTAGCCTTGTTAAATATAGGCTGTTAGATTTATATATTTTTCATCTAAGAGCTATTATCAGCTTAAGAATGGTCATAACAATTGGTGTTATCATGGGTCCTAACATCTTTTTTCCCACCATACCATCCCGGAGAAGCCACAAATGATGCTCATGTGCAGTGGCGTAGCCAGGATTTTATGTAAGGTGGGTCCGAATATTGCAAGAAAATTTTGAATCATTGCAGTGCCACGTAATGTGTGTTCATATATTGACGAACTTGCATTCACATGATATGGATGTCAATCTACCTTATAAAATAATCATTCATGATTTTGTCACCCATTAGATACCAAAGAGTGTTTTCACGTGGCTCATTGAAAATGTCATTTCAATACTTGCAGTGGAGCCTTAGTTAGCAACAACAATAAGTTACTTCTTTCAATTACCATGATTCGAAAAATAACTCCTAATTCTATATAGTTTTAGATAATAGCCAACCTATATTCACGTCAAAGTATACATATAATAATCTAGTTGAGGTTTAAAATCTGATATATTGAATTTATTATTAGGATAAAAAGAATCTAGCGAGTTTCAACAAAAGAAAGTTTTGGCGATATATAATGAATAAACCTGAAATGATTGAACCACGATTAAACCACGTATTCAACATAAAATATCATACCATTGACTTGTCCAATATAACTTTTGGTACGATTTTTAATTCTTATTATTAAGCGTACATATTTTCTCCCGAACCAAAGTGGGTCCCGGGACCCACCTTAGTATGCGCCGGCTCTGCCACTGCTTATGTGATTTATTGGTTCCTATTACTTGAGGCCCGACTGAACATCTACTTAGAGAATAAATACTTACTTTTCACGTATTCATTTTTACCCATGAATTAATTAAATGAATTTATAAAAGTATACTAAACAAAGTTTTGATCTGCTAAAAACGAGTACAATATTAGTCATAACATGTTCTTCACCGTATATTGTTTTCAATAATTAAAGAAAAATTCGGTTGTAATTAGCTAGATTGAAATTTATTGCAATAACGAGAAAATTACAAACAACACCGATGCCAAAAGGACTAAATGGCCCATAATTTGCTTAATAATAACATCAGTGGTAATAAAAGAATCAACCTTAATCAGCAAAAGAATCCAACCGAAGTCCCTTCACGAATCCCAATCATAATCCCAAAAAAAAGTCTACCCCTGATGCATCCAATGAGGAAACAAACTGCATATGGATAATACAATTTCTTATAAAGAAACGAAAATTTGACCAAAAATAAATAAGAAGGAAATAAAAAAGGATGAACATATTGATTTGACTTTTCTTTCTCTCCTCTCTCTCTGTATTTTTTGTTTGTTTTATTGTTTATGAACTTATTATAATTTCCCCCCTGTGTTTGTGTCAACTGAGATGCATAGTTGTGGAGAAACTGGGCAAGAGGTGGCACCATTTCAAAAATCAAACATATGCATAGAAAATGAATTGAAAAGAGGTCCTTCCTTTTCCTTCCCTCGGATCTGTCCCTATAAATTTGCCAAGGCTTCTCCACCGCTTCTCATTCTTTCTTACCTGATCCACTTCACTCTCTCTCTCTCGATTTCCTCTCTTCGTGGAACTCAACACGACTTCCTCTTTCGTCTCATCTCCAATATGAATCTCACTTCCTCTATAATAGCTCCAAAAACTTCAACTTTCTAATTATACCTACTACCTCTTCTTCTCACTCTTTTCTTGTCTTCTGTCGTCATCTCCTCGTTCTCTCTCTAGACTGTCCTTTTGTTGGATCTGTTACAACTTAATCTCGCTCACAGTACTCCTCTTTTCCTTCGGAAAACAGAACACCACCCCTGTTACAACTAATTAAGTTGCTCTGTTTTTGGTTCGCCTGTGATCGAAATTCCGCACCTCAAGAGTTACTCTCTCCTCCACATTGCTGTCAACACAAAAGGTAACACCTTTGCTATCCATTATCCAATCTGCAAAATTGGCGATTGCCCTTTTCAATTTGGAGTGTTTTCTCATCTGGGTTCGATTCATATACCGCTTCTTCTATGCATGCAAGAAAAACAAAGGTCGTAATTCCTCTGTTCTTTGTACTCTTCGTCTTGTCGTTTTCGTTCTTTTCTCGAATATAGATTTTGCTCGATTGATTCGTTTGTTGTGGAAGAGGACAAAGTTTTCATTCTCCGCTTAATTATTATTGTCATTATTGGGGTAGCTTGTGGGGCTTACTTGTGAGATAGAAAGAAGAAACAGAGAGGGGCATTTGAGTCACTGCGGGGACATCTTTGTCCCCCGGTGGCAACAACCGCGGGAGTAATTGCAAAGTTGTCTAGTTTCAGGGCTGCCACGTAGGATATATTTTGGACACGTGGGGTGCAGATGTCATTGTAATGACCGCTCTGGCCCTGTCTTTCATAACGACAAAGTATTAAATATTGTAATGCCGCCGCCGCCAAACTGAGAAATTGGCTTTCCATCGGATGTGGACGTCGCTTTCACTAACTGAGTATTAGGAGTGTATAGGAAGAAAAAGACATGAACTATAGGATGAAATTGAATCCGGCTACTATGTTAAACTAGGATTATATATGTTTGAAGTTATTGGATAGTCTTCTCGTATGTATATGGTATGGACGGGATAATCTATCGACAAATAATATTATCATATTTGTTTAACTACGATAAAAGTAATATAACACTTCAATACGATCAACATGGTAGCACATCCTGAAAGGAAAAGTTTATTTCCAAGAGAATTGGTGGCTTAGAAATTGTTATCGTTGTTGTAGTCTCAAGGGGAAATGTTTAACGTTGCAAATCTGATTTTAACCTCTCTCAGTTTTACTTTTCACCAATTTGGTTAATTTTCTGTCTCTTTTTTTACCTTTTAATGTTGCCTTCCTTTATTTTTTGCCATATACATACATTAAGTTGTTTACATAAATGTCGACCTTTTGGCATACTCTTATCCTATTCGTATAATACTAAGTAGAAAGGATAATTACACCGTTAACTTGATTGCCATTCCTGACAGAATTAGGATAAGCTTGATGAACCTTATTTATACACTCCTGTGCAGTTTAAAGTAATTCCCTTTTCAAGTAAATTTCCACAGATTTGTTCCTATATAATGACCACTGATTATGACACACCGATTCAATTTACCTGGTTACTGATCTAGATTCTGCTTCATCCAACAGAACAAAAGGAAGTAGGGAGCACAAGAAGAAAGGAAGTGAAAACCTTCAAAAAAACAAACATGGCTCCCGGGAATGGGACATGTTATAAGCCTATGAAAGCAACCTCCAATGGAGTTTTCCAGGGTGACACTCCATTGGACTTCGCCTTGCCCCTCGCTATCCTCCAGATTTGCCTCGTCGTCGTCCTCACTCGCGCTCTCGCTTTCGTGCTCCGCCCCATGCGCCAGCCCCGTGTCATTGCAGAGATCGTTGTAAGTAAAATACAACCATCTTATCTCAATAACGCGAGCAAATCATTCGTTAAATCTTACGTTGCGGTCGATAATGGGTAGAATTGTTATGTGGCTTTGTTTGCAGGGAGGGATATTGCTTGGTCCATCTGCATTGGGGAGAAACCATCAGTTCTTGAACACACTCTTCCCAGCTAAAAGTCTCACTGTGTTGGACACTCTGGCCAATTTGGGACTGCTCTTCTTCCTCTTCCTGGTGGGACTCGAATTGGACCCGAAGGCACTAAAGAGGACGGGGAAGAAAGCCTTTGCAATCGCCATGGCTGGGATCGGCCTCCCCTTCATCATGGGAATAGGGACATCAGTCGTACTCCGCGGGACCATCTCCAAAGGCGTGAGCGGACCTCCATTCCTCGTCTTCATGGGTGTGGCGCTCTCCATCACTGCTTTCCCCGTCCTGGCTCGAATCTTGGCAGAGCTCAAGCTCCTCACCACAGATGTAGGTAGGATGGCAATGTCAGCCGCAGCTGTCAATGACATCGCCGCCTGGATCCTGTTGGCCCTCGCCATTGCCCTCTCGGGGACAGGACACTCCCCTCTGGTCGCCCTGTGGGTGCTCTTGTGTGGAGCAGGTTTCGTCACAGCCTGTGTGGTCATACTGCCTCGAGTGTTCACAATGATGGCTCAGCGCTGCCCTGATGGCGAGCCTGTCGATGAAATCTATGTGTGCGCCACACTGTGTTGTGTCCTGGCTGCAGGATTCGTCACCGACACAATCGGAATCCATGCACTTTTTGGAGCATTTGTCGTGGGCATCCTCGTCCCTAAGGAAGGTGCATTCGCTGGAGCACTGGTCGAGAAGGTGGAAGATCTCGTCTCGGGTCTGTTCCTCCCTTTGTACTTCGTCTCGAGTGGATTGAAGACCAATGTAGCCACGATACACGGCGCACAATCATGGGGGCTCCTCGTTTTGGTCATCACCACAGCTTGTTTTGGCAAGATCGTTGGCACCGTGGTTGTCTCCTTACTCTGCAAAATGCCATTCCAGGAAGCATTAGCCGTTGGATTCCTGATGAACACGAAGGGTCTAGTGGAGCTCATTGTTCTCAACATTGGCAGAGACAGAAAGGTTTGTTATTTTCCATTCTTTATCCTCGTCCACCTCTTACGACTCAATTGGGTAACTGAATTGAATCTTTACCACTTAATTCTCAGGTTCTAAATGAGGAAACGTTCTCAATTCTAGTTCTAATGGCTATATTCACAACATTCATCACCACTCCAATTGTAATGGCGGTCTACAAGCCGGCAAAACGAGCATCGAAGACAGAGTACAAGCACAGGACAATCGAGAGGAAAGATCCAAGCGACCAATTCAGGCTGCTCGCCTGCTTCCACTCATCGAGGAACATACCTGGGCTAATTAACTTGATCGAAGCTTCCCGCGGGACGGAGAAGCGGCAAGGGCTCTGCGTCTACGCCCTGCACCTCATGGAGCTCTCGGAGCGGCCTTCGGCGATTCTCATGGTCCACAAGGCGAGGAAGAACGGGCTCCCCTTCTGGAACAAGATCCAGCAGTCGGATTCTTCGAACCAGGTGGTGGTCGCCTTTGAGGCGTTCCGGCAGCTGAGCCAGGTTGTGATCCGACCCATGACGGCGATCTCCGCCATCCACAGGATGCATGAGGACATCGGCGAGAGCGCGGATCGGAAGCGGGCGGCGATGATCATCCTCCCCTTTCACAAACACCAACGGATAGACGGATCCCTAGAGACGACCCGAACCGAGTACCGGAGCGTGAACCGTCGGGTCCTGGAGTGTGCACCCTGCTCCGTGGCGATCCTCGTGGACCGCGGGTTCGGCGGGTCGACCCACGTCGCCGCCAGCAACGTCTCTTCGAGCATCACCGTGCTGTTCTTCGGCGGCAAGGATGATAGAGAAGCGCTGGCGTACGGCGCCAGGATGGCGGAGCACCCGGGGATAAGCTTGACGGTGGTGCGCTACGTGGCGAGTCAGGATTCGTCGGGGGAGATCATGACCATCGATTTGAATGAGGGATCTGATGGATCTGGGTCGTCTGGGATTTCAGATGGGGAGTATTTGGCCGAATTTAGGAAGAGGATTACGGAGGACGGGTCGATTAAGTACGAGGAGAAGGTGGTGAAGAATCCGGTGGAGACGGCGGAGTCGATTCGAGGGTTTAGCCGGTGTAATTTGTTCCTGGTGGGGAGGATGTCGGAGGGTCCGGTGGCGGCGTGCCTGAGCGCAAAGATCGAGTGCTCGGAGCTGGGTCCGGTGGGGAATTTCTTGACGTCGCCGGAGTTTGTGACGTCGGCGTCGGTGTTGGTGGTGCAGCAGTATTCTACGGAAAAGCGATCGACGCCGAGGCACAGCTCGATGAGCTCCGGGAAGGTGGCGGAGTTGCCGGCAGGGGAGTTCGATGACGGGAAAATGGAGGTCTGAGAAGAAGAAAAAAGAGTGCATTTGGGGGTGGGAAACTATAAAATCTGTACTTGTTTTATTTTCCTTTGTTTCCTTCCCTATTTTCGAGTGTAATTTACTAATTTCAGTTGCTTGCTCGTTCAGTACAAAAGAAAGTAGAAAAAGATGCAAAAAAGAAAATAATACATCAGATATATGGTTTCCTAAAGTTCTTAACGACAGTTCCTCTACACATTGCCCAATAGGTAAAATCTTAAAATTTTGCTAGTACATCATATGTGGTAACCGTCAGTACAGGCTTACAATTTTGGGATTAGCACCATGATAACTAGCAAAAAACGCTACTAAAAATAACGAAATCACTACGAATTATTATTAATCAATACAACATCTAAGCTAAATCACTACTAATTCAAACTAGTAGTAGTTTTTCCCTTGGTTAGGACGGTGCTAACTATTGTACAATTAGCACCGTAGCCGTTCCCTGTTATAAACAATATCGACAATGAAACAACAAATTAATCCGGATTAAAAAAAAATATTAGGTGCATCCATGATCCAACAACCAAAATAGTAAAACATTGTTCTTGCACATACTCGTTCAACATGTCAAGGGATTGATTTATCCCGTTCATGGGGTGGAGCAAGTTCCGATCAATACTAAAATATAAGCTAGTGTGTATTTTATCCTCTCAACTAAACTCTCTTATTCACTACTACACGACCCTCAAACACCAAGAGTTTTATTTAATTATACATAGATCATTACATCACTATTTTACAACTTAGAAGTCCCCATGCAACTCAATTTTGACTTTCCAATTTAAGTCACTCTCGTCTCTCATCTAATCTCTTGTAATTTTCATAACACCAAAATGCAAACACTAGTATTAGTCGTCTCTCAACCTCCAATTCGTCAAATTAAAGATTATCAATGACAAGAATTTGAGATGTCACCTCTCCTCCATTCTCCTTATCCATATCCTAGCTCTAGACAAACTCAAGACTCTTTGCTTATTATCTTTGCCCTAAATTAAACAATAAAATCTAATTTATATATTTAATTATTAATTATAAAGGTAATTAATTTCGTATTCGACAATACCGATTGGGATACCAAAGTACCGATTGGGGTACCAAAATATTTAGGGATTGAGATTAGAATTGATTTTAGGATGTAATTCGATATTCGGAATTTTTGTATTTGATATTGAGATACCGATATCGTACCGATTTCCACCCCTAGTAATAAGGGTCCGATTCGAAATATTTATCTGAAAAGTAGATATAATACTTAATTTAAATTCTTTAGGGTGAAACATGCAATCATCATAATTATGCTAGCAATTAATATACACCAATCAATATATTATAGCATTTCCATGGTTAGTGCTTAATTATGGTTCCACTGGGCCAACTACTTCCTCAGTCTAGGCAGGCCTAGTAGTAATGTCGAGTAAATCACAGTTTACTATAATGTTTTGGAAAAGTAATTCTGACTCATTGATGTAATTGCAAAACAAATAAAAGTCAACAGAAAACTTGAGTGACTAAAGATGTAATTCTCCCATCAGGAGTCCAAGTCGAAGTAGAACTCTGCGTGCAAAAATCAAACCCAATATATGAAGGCTGAAGAGGAGAGATGAAGAGTCGGCGGAACGGCGAGAGCATTCCCCAGCTAGCTCTTCTCCACGAAATCTACGTTGCATGAGCGCGTAAGCCGAAAGTACTAACGAATGACTCGCTCCTTGAGATAATCCCTAGTAGGCTCAAATTGTTCCGACTCTGTTTTCTTCCCAGGCACCAGCAGCCGCATTCTTCTCTGCTCGCTCCCAACTCTCGATTTTTCCACAATCCGATTCCGAAGGATTTCAACTGCAGGTATGCAAATAGCCCTCGGTTTGTTGTAGTAACTACTGAGACGAATCCCTCATTGTGCTTTCTTGATTTCTTCATTCAAAGATTCTGTCTTGATCGTAAGTTCTCCCATTATCCAGTCAAATTGAACTGGGTAGTATCAGGGTGGATGATGGTTCCTGTGGGTAAGGGTTAATTTCACGAGATTTCAACTGGGTTTGAATGATTTTCAGGATTATTAGGAGTTTCCGGTTTTGATCCTGGGAAATGATTGTGGTATGACAGATTTTTCTGATTCCTGGAATCTGATGATCCGGAGCTTATTTTTGTTTTTTTCTGCAGGTAGTGTGAATGTGACACTGTGCTATTGGAAGCAGAGATGGTTACTGCAAATGTTACTTGTCCTAAGCACATGGTGGCTACATCGAATGGGTTCTTCCAAGGGGATAGCCCGTTGGAATTCGCTCTTCCTCTAGTGATTCTCCAGATCTGTCTCGTGGTTGCCCTCACAAGGGGTCTTGCTTTCCTCTTGAGACCATTGAGACAGCCCCGTGTGATTGCAGAGATAGTGGTCGGTTTCCTCTCTCAATGTACTTCCTTCTGTGCTAAGTTTCTCAGTGAAAATTGCCTCCATTTCTGTTTTAAATTCTGTTATGCAAAAGTCAACTGTGTTGCTGGCATAGCCTTGGCATGCACCTGTGCTCTGTGCAAATAGTTGGTCTTTGGTCATGTTTAGAAGCAGCTGAAAATTTTGGTTAAACGGAACACTGTTGCTGTTGCTTTTGTCATTTTCGATCGGCATGGAACTCTGATATGGTGGATGTTTATGTCAAGCAGATTCTGTGGAAATGCCTTTCTGTTACAGCATATATTTATATGATATGATATGGTTACCTGATGAAATTGTGCAAACTTGATGCTTTCATCTCTACGTCCCCGGAGAGTTGGTTTACCTTTTCAAGATCACTCAGTGGCGGCTTTCTCACGTTGCAGGGAGGAATTCTGCTTGGGCCTTCTGCTCTGGGCCGGAACAAGACCTACTTGCACACAGTATTCCCACCTAAGAGTGTCCCGGTTTTGGATACTCTGGCAAACATTGGTCTTCTCTACTTCCTGTTTCTATCCGGCTTAGAGATAGATCCTAAAGCACTCCGTCGAACTGCGAAGAAGGCTCTAGCTCTTGCTGTTGCAGGAATCAGTCTCCCATTCTTAATGGGAATCGGTTCCTCGCTTGTCCTCCGAGCAACCATATCCAAAGGTGTAAACGACACTGCATTCCTTGTCTACATGGGAGTGGCGCTTTCCATCACAGCATTCCCTGTCCTGGCTCGTATTCTGGCCGAGTTGAAGCTCTTGACCACTGACATTGGCAGAATGGCAATGTCGGCTGCAGCAGTTAATGATGTGGTGGCATGGGTTCTTCTTGCTCTTGCCATAGCAGTATCTGGCTCTGGCAAATCCCCCCTTATAGCATTTTGGGTTCTGCTTTCCGGCTGTGGATTTGTCATTCTCGCCATACTGATCGTTCGCCCGATCTTTAAGTGGATGGCTCGAAGGTGCCATGAAGGTGAGCCTGTCCAAGAAACCTATGTATGCGGTACACTAGCTGCTGTTCTTGCTGCTGGGTTTGTGACTGATGCTATTGGGATTCATGCCATGTTTGGTGCTTTTGTTATCGGAGTTGTAATCCCTAAGGAAGGGCCTTTGGCTGGAGCTCTAGTTGAGAAAGTTGAAGACCTTGTCTCCGGCCTTTTCTTGCCTTTGTTCTTTGTGTCAAGTGGGCTCAAAACCAATGTAGCGACGATCGAAGGTCTCCAATCTTGGGGTCTTCTTGGCTTGGTTATTTGCACAGCGTGTTTTGGGAAGATTGTTGGCACCTTCTTGGTTTCTCTTCTGTGTAAATTGCCTGTTCGTGAGTCGCTTGCTCTCGGGTTCCTTATGAATACAAAGGGTTTGGTGGAGCTTATCGTCCTCAATATTGGCAAAGATAGGAAGGTAAGCATTATTTGAGAGAGTTTTACAGATTCTTGATAATTAAGATAGATTCTCATGTTATGTATCTAATAGTACTGCTTTTGTTTGTTTCTTATTTCAGGTTCTGAATGATCAGACGTTTGCCATTATGGTTCTGATGGCTCTTTTCACAACCTTCATCACCACACCACTGGTGTTGGCTGTATACAAGCCAGCAAGAAAATCACGAAGGCCAGACTACAAGTACAGAACCATTGAGCGGAAGAACACTGCTACACAGCTCCGAATTCTGGCCTGTTTCCATTCTACAAGAAACATACCATCAATGATTAACCTTCTTGAAGCTTCTAGAGGAGTTCAGAAGGTCGAGAACCTCTCTGTGTATGCATTGCATCTCATGGAACTCTCAGAGAGATCCTCTTCCATCCTAATGGTTCACAAGGCCAGGAAAAATGGGCTTCCCTTCTGGAACAAGGGCCCTCGGGCAGATTCTGACCAAGTTGTCGTGGCCTTCGAAGCTTTCAAGCAGCTCAGTCACGTCTCGGTTAGGCCAATGACTGCAATCTCTTCAATGATGGATATGCATGAAGATATCTGCACAACTGCTGAGAGAAAGCGAGCTGCATTGATCATCCTTCCATTCCACAGGCATTATAGATTTGACGGCTCACTCGAAACTTCACGACCAGAGCTACGGTTGGTCAGCAGAAAGGTTCTGACCCATTCCCCATGCTCGGTTGGAATCCTGGTTGATCGAGGACTCGGTGGTTCAACCCATGTCTCGGGGAGCAACGTTTCGTATCTCATTAGGGTCATCTTCTTTGGTGGTCGAGATGATCGTGAGGCCTTGACATATGGACTCAGAATGGCTGAGCATCCTGGGATTAGCGTGGAGGTGATTCGGTTTGTGGTCAACCCTGAAGCTGCAGGAGGGGAGATAGTCAGCTTCCATATGGCCGTTCATTCCAGCTGCATGAAATCTCTGTCCATGGATGCGGAGATGATCTCTGAACTGAAGCAGAAGGCGTCGAAGGACATATCTGTGCAGTACGAGGAGAAAGTTGTGAGGAATGCGACCGAGACTCTGGATGCGATTCAGGAAGTGAAGCAGTGCAACCTGTTCTTGGTTGGTGCTACTCCTGAAGGAGGCATTGGGTTGTTGCTGGATCGCCACAACGAATGCGAGGAATTGGGGCCGATTGGTGGGCTGTTGACTTCTGATTCTACTGTAACAGCATCTGTGTTGGTGATTCAACAGTATAGTGATGGTAATAACAACCTGGCCACTTCGGAAGAGGCGGCGGTCTCGCAGTTGGAAGAAGGGTTGCAGGAGAAGAACAAAAGCTCGCCGGACTCTAACTGAGGATGTCTCATTTGCAACTTAGAGTGTATGGAATCATGTAATTAGGAGATTCGGTAGCTTGAACCATGGTGGTGAAGTTGTTTTTTCCCCTAGATTTTAATGGATGGACAATGGAAGGTAATTGACGACGACTAATAGTTTGTAACCATTAAAATCCTGTTGTTCTTCTTGTAGGCTTTTCCTCCACTTACTGATCCGTTGTTTTGCCTTAGTCTGTAGTAAGTAGCAACCATTAAAATACTGGTCGGTAGTGGTTCTTAATTTCTAAGGTTAGAGATTGAAGTTGTGGGGAGCAAATCAGTTCAGTAATTTTTATTGTGAGTAATATCAGTAAGTTGTCCACATTTGCATGGCATCAGCATTCTCTCTTTTCTGGAAACTCTTTTATTTTTTTTCCTTTAATCTTTAACGGATGATATCTTTCTCGTTTTAAGTTGAAATATAAATTTTTTTTGCACTGATAAATCATTTTAAATGTGCTCTGTAAAATGATAACCACTTTGATATATTTTTAGTACAAAAAATTGAATAATTTTTTACCAGCCATTACCATATTGTATGCTCATATTTAATACCATATGGTAAGAAAGCGTACCATGATGGTATGAACATACCAATATGGTAAAAAGGTTGAATACATGATAGTAGGAGTATACTAACTGTCATTTACGACTTTCATCATTGTTTACCACCCACATACCACAGTGGTAAAGTATGGTAATTTTTGGTCCATTATTCTTTTCACCCAGAAATTTATAGATCCAGTAGATCATGATGAACTCGTTCTTTCTGAGCAAACGTTTTCAGAAACGACTTAAAAACGAAGAAGTTATCATATGGTATGAAGTTGGTAAAAAAACAAAATCTCGAAATATATTGAAAATTGATCTCATTTAGTAGAGCACAACGAACTCGTTCCATGTGTGCAAAAAAAAAAAATGGAAATCCGAGTTAAAACGAAGAAAAGAACCGATTATGAAAACTAGGAAAAATAAAATGTCTTTAATTGACAACTCTTAGATCTGAATTTTTTGGACCCACTTAGATTTAAAGGTCCATATTTAATTACTCACAGGTCAGTAACCAATGGTTACTGAGTACTGACCCTATCCTAAGCCGAAGTTGTGATCAAGTTTAAGTGTTTGAGATTAGATTCTAAACTATTTAAAAATGCCCAGGCTCGGATATAAAACCCCAGTCTGCAAAATTTGGCCGTATCATCGTGATATGACGATATATATGTGTATCATTGTATCAATATGATACGACGGGGTTTAGAAGACAATGATTTTGTACCCTATTCGTTCCCATTTTAATATTCGATTTGTTGAATTTCTCTTTCAAAAAAATTCATCGGGTATAAATTTGATATTGACATTGTCACAACCTGTGACTCTTCCAAAATGTAACACTTTATGACTTTTCCCCATGCTTAAGAAACATAATCATGTTGTTCCATTTAGGGCTCGTTTGGAGAATTGGAGTCTAAATCTCTAGATTCTAGACAATCCAAAAATTTTAACTTTCTCGATTGTTAAAAAAAGATTTGAAAATGTTCATTGTTTGGTAACTATGATCGTTAACATCCAATGAAAAAAGAAATTATATTTTTTTATCACATAACATGTTTATCCTTAACCAAAATAATTAGATTGGCTCGAAAAATATTGAGAATTTATTGGTAAGGGTATTTAGTGGGATAAAAAAAAACAAGAGATATAATAGGAGGGAGAAAATCTCCAAAATCAAGATGTAGAATTTCTCTAATTATGAGAGATTTGATATCTCTAGATTTTATAAATTTACAATCTCTGAAGTTACAATTCACGATACAAAAAGTAGCAAAAAAACATAACATTTTACTAAATCTATGGATTCAATAAATCCACGATCCAAATTTTGTTCTCCAAACGAAACCTTAGCATTTTTTTCCACTTAACATTCGTAGCTGAACATAAAAACATATGTATATACATATGAGAAATTTTACAATGCTATATAGTATTGGTGCTATAGATTTTTGCCTTTATAGTACAACTTAAAATTGTACATTTACGTTATGGTACAACTTTAGATTGTACATTATACTTTTTTCTTTTTTTACAAATTCTTTTATGGTACAACTTGAACTTGTACCTTTATGAGATGGTACAACTTCAAGTTGTAAAGTTGTACCATAACATAATGGTATAAATTGTTTTATGGTACAACCTAAACTTATACATTTAATGTTATGGTACAACTTTGAATTGTACATTAAAGCACCAATGCTATATAGCATAGTAGAAGTGCTCATATACATACTATATTGATAGGTCAAGGAAAACCCAAAACAATTTTTCCGATGCATCAAATGTGAAACACAGGACGGTGCAAAGTATAACTTCTAACACATACATATCTCTGACATTAAGTGGCTGAACATTAAGGGAGTACACAAACTTAAAAGTGTGAAATCATTTCGTTCAAGTTCAAAAGTGAAAACATGAAAGTTTAGTTCCATTGCATACCTTTCAGCCATCCAACTAATCTCGCTAGTTCACCGAGTCTACCATTATTGCGTTGGCTCTAAAAGAAAATATGTCAGCGAGGTGAGGTGTCACTCAATAAGTTATTACTAACCTAGCTATTTGAGCACAGGTTCATCAAGGGCTAAAATCCATTTAAACAATTCTAGTCATACAAACCAGGGATAGGCATTTGGGTGATTAATCTGCAATTTGATATCGACTCAACCACAAATAATCCAAACTGCAGTGGGTGAGTGAATAATGCGGGTGGATCGTGATTGGAAATTTTGTATATGTACTTATTCAGGTGGGTTGCGGGTCACTCAAATTTGTGAGTCACCCAATATTTTCTATATGCTCTACAATTCATTAACATATAAAAATGGTGAAACCAATAAATTAAACTCAATCTCGTCTAATGATTGTCGGATCCAATCATGTCGAATTAGGTTGAGATTCAAAACTTAGCTGTTAATCGGGCTAAACCGTTTAAAGAATCAGTACCATATAGTTTGCACAAAGATATAATTGCTTCATAGTAACCCTAAAAATTAAAATTGATTTACGAATTTTTCATTGCTTCGGACATTTAATATTGCAATTCGATATGCAATATTCGAACTATCATTATTCTATAAGATAGATAAAACTTTAAACTAAGTATTAAACTATAATTAAAATAATCAAAATATCAAAATCGAATTATCAAAACACCAATTAAGTACTTCCTCAGAGATTTAGTGGGGCTAGATAACCATTGAAAAAGTCCTGTGATTTTTCAAATTTTAGTTTCGTGTATGTTCTTAATTTTAAAAAATACACCAAATTTACATAGTGTAATTAATTATAAACTTTTGTCTTTATTTGAAGTGGCTCCATTCCAAAGTAGATGATAGATCCTTTTTACGACGTTATAGATATAGGGCGTGCCTATTTTTACTTATGTCCTTATTATGCAGCCGGCCGGATCTCAAAATTGCGATACCTCCACCAAAGAGGAAAAATACAAAACTATACCCTCTCTTCTTCTTCTTCTTCTTCTTCTTTCTGTTTTTATTATGTAGCCGGCCAGATCTCAGAATTAAACAGCAAAACTGAGCTATAAAGCCCCATTTTAAATGTAATTTAGAGACGGCCACGTCCACTTCACCACATGATTACAACAGCGCCCATATCGTCTATTACCTTCCTAGCTAGCTAGCAAGAACGACGGCCAACTAATTATGCTTCCCCGCCGCACAAAATAGTATCAACCCTAAGATATTCGCTACCCGCTGCGGATCTAGGGCATAGTAGAGAACTAGGCCGCATTTGAATTAAATATTAGATATCATAAATAAAAATATATAATAACTATAGTTTTCATTAATTACAATCCCAATTCTTTTAGAAGGTCTTTTAATTTGACAAATCCATCCATCCGCCTTTTTGGATTGCTTCTGGCGATCCATGTACTATATGTGTTTGATTTCCTACTTACACAAAATCCTATTATAAAATAACACTCGACGGACTTATAAATATCACTGGGCCGAATACCCAACTTCGAGAAATTTATAAGCATTGTACTAACTCTAATTAAATCCGGAGTAGGGCTGGGTCGGGGCCCAAGTTGGCCCAGCCCTAAATCCGCCGCTGTTCGCTACGAACTAAAGTCCATATCATTTTTAGATACCCAACCCATAACTTTGTTTCATAAGATATTATTTTTTCAATTGACAATAAGACATAAAAAATTACTAATTATTAACTTTACTGAAGAAGAATCATATTATTGCGAATCGGTTTTGATTCGATTCCGTTTGTACGATGATCTCTTTGAAGTGGAAGGAACTTGTGAAGAAGCTACAACTATTGCTAATGTATACTTCAACATTCAAGTCGGTATGATACGAAAATATGGTCTAAAACATATATATACAAAAATATGGTCTAAAGCATATACTACAAACATGTCAAAACATGTAAATATGGTCTAAAACACTTAATTATACCTCTCCTATTTTTACTCATCCTATATCATATTTTTCACACAATGATACTTTAGATCAAGGTTGTCACCTTGGTTTAGCCTGTTGATCCGGTCAAGCTAGTGAGTCAAGAGTTAATGGGTCGGTCAATTTAACCCAGTTTAGCCTGATTTAACCCGAATATCTGAAAAAAACCATTATATTGTACATACATATATAAATTATGTTAATTCTCATCTAATATATAAATAATAACATATATCATTACATCAAAATAATAATTAACCAACAAAATGATATAACACAATAATAGTTCTGCTTTTTTTTCTTTAGCCGCCGGTGGCTTCTCTTCTTTCTTTCTCTCTCTCCACACGATAAGGGGAGATTATACAAATCTTTGGTGAACATAAATCATATTATAATTTATAAACACCAAAATAATAATTAACCTACAAAATGATAAAACCACAATAATGATTCTGTTTTTTTCTTCTTTAGCAGCCAATGGCTTGTCTTCTTTATTTCTCTCTCTCCACATGATAAGGGGAGATAATGCAAAATTGCAAATCCTTAGTGAACAATAATCAAGTTCTATGTTTATATATATTAATGAGTTTGCACCCTATTTTGACTTTCGATGGTGGGTTTTGATGTACTACTCGATAGGCTTGAAGTCTAAGGTCTTTGATGGCCCGTAATATTGAACACTTTTTTTTATGATCCGTAATTAAAAATAAAAAGTTATAACAACTTCTTACGATTGAATTTAGATATTGCAACGAACTATTGCCCAATAACTTAGCCATATTGTACATTTCAATACAGAAAGTTCTTAGCTACAATATTGGTTGAACGCAGAAGCTCCAACCATCCACGTGTTAGTTTATTATCTGTTCGCTTTTTTCTAAATATGTTTAATGTTCTTAATTCTGCTAAATAAAATAAAAATAAAAATATGGAAAAAAGAAAGATGAGCTCACTAATAAAAAACTGACATGTGACTTATTGTAACTTTGGCATCCTCCAACCGAAATTGGATCTAAGAATTTTCCTTCCTAAACTACCACCACCCTCTTAAGTCTTATCCCATTATAAGCTATATATATATATATATATATACGGTGTACCCAGTCACTTACAGTCAGAGAAACAATACACACATTTTCATAATTTCTCACACACCTACACACTACCATGAAGCCTTCTTCTTCTTCTTCTTCCCTTCTCTTCCGCGCAGTCACAACCCTTCTCATCATAATCATACCATCCTCCCACGGCCACGGTGCGTATGATCCCGCCAAGCCATGCAAGCGGCTGGTCCTCTACTTCCACGACATCCTCTTCCACGGCGGCGCCGAGCCCTTCAACGCCACCTCCGCCACGGTCGCCAACGCCACCAAGCTCGGGAACACCAACTTCGGGAAGCTGATCGTGTTCGACGACCCGATGACGAGAGACGCCCACCTCCTGTCGACGCCGGTGGCGCGTGCGCAGGGGTTCTACTTCTACGACATGAAGAGCGCGTTCAACGCGTGGTTCGCGTACACGCTGGTGTTCAACTCGACGGAGCACCAGGGGACCATCAACGTCATGGGCGCCGACACGATCAGTGCGCCGACCAGGGACCTCAGCGTGGTCGGCGGCACGGGGGATTTCTTCATGGCGCGTGGGATCGCCACCTTCCGCACCGATGCTGCTCTAGGCGACTACTACTTCCGTTTGGAGATGGACATTAAGCTGTACGAGTGTTACTGAATTAAGGACTAAATATACGCACCATGATTATTATTATGTTGTTATGTTGATCGTCAGTAGTTTAATTAATATGTACCCTTAAATCTGTTTAATTTGCTGTTCTATATATGGTGTCATGGGTTGATGAATAAGACAATCGTGACAATCGATGTTTTTTGTTTTTGTTTTTACTATTAAAGAATACTATATATATACACGTTCGTATGAAAATGAATGTTATGTATCTGTGTGTTGCGTAATATATGATCAGGTACGTTTGGGAGTTGCAGATCCCAGATTCGAATCCAAGCAAGGCCTGTTGGTGTTCCCGGAGGTACAAACTTGTTGCCGGCGAAGCCCTCGTTAGCGTCGAATTTGATGGCAGGTGACCCCAAATTTAGTAAGACCCGCTATGGCACGTGGGGCTGAGGTTCCTTGATAATAAAAAAAAATCAAAATTACTTAATTTTCTTTCGTTAAAAATATTAAACAAACACTCTCATAAAAAAATTGGACAATTAATCAAGAGAACCAATGCATAGCTTTCGGATGACCTCAATACACTGTGATGTTGGAAATAAAATCAGTACACGGAATCTCATGGGCTTCCAGCTCCAAAGCCCAATGGGTACAGGTACACGCAGCCCATGTCATGAATCCGCAATGCCCAGCCGTCGGTCGCTGTGGGCTTTCTTATAATCCATTAATGACCTTCTGCTTCTCTTTTTATATTGAAACCCCCCTGGGCCGGTCCAGTTAGGGTTTAGGTGGCGATCTTCATTGTGTGGTGGAACTGGAACTGAAACTCGGATGAACGATGACTCCCGCCGGAAGTCGCAAATTTGAAATGACAGCCGGGCGGCGTTCAGATGCATCCCGCCGGATCAATTATCCGCTTGGCCGCCAAAAGAGACAACGAGCGACGCCAAGGTGCAGTTCTCAATCGGAGGATGGCTATGGTCGTTGTTCTTCGCCGATCAGCAATCTTTGCGACAGTCTCCTCATCAATGTCCTTCAACGCCTCCCGAACCTAGATCTCTTTATCGATGCAATTCCGTTTGCAAGCGGTGGGACTCCCTCATCTCAGATCCAAAACTCCTATGCCTGCTGGTTTCCCTCTTCAAGCTCGACCTGGGATGCGGCGGCGAGGACGAGATTCGAGGCAAAGGCAAAAGAGGAAGAGGAGCCGGGCAATTGATCTATTACGATCGGCCTGAAACCCAGAAATCAATCCCGAGGAAGATGCTCCCCAGGGGCGCCGACACCCACCTCCAAGTTCTCGCCAGCTGCTACGACTTGGTCCGCTGTTCACCAAAAACAGGTACCGCAAAAGGTTCTACATCTGCAATCCCTTTACCAAACAGCGGGTCGCGCTCCCTATAATCGAGCGCGACATTTGCAATGGCATCAATTGCACGGCGTTCGGAAGCCATCGGCTTGAAATTCCAGGGCTTGAGCTTGATATGTCGTTGGTTGGGTTTGTCTGCGAGCCCTACTGCAGCAGCAGCTCGCATCACAACAATGACGGCGGTACAGTCATTCAGAAGAACCCTAATTACCGATTCCGTGTGGCGGTGCTGTTTTGTTCAGGGGATGACATAGTGATCGACAACTTCCACTCCGAATCAGGGGAATGGAAGACCAATTTTATCGAAGGCAGCTACACTCATGATCAGACGCCGTATTTGCCTTCCACCTCACCCTATATTCCCATCAATGCTCCTTCCACATCCATTGGCAAGTTGTTCTGGAAGACTCAGGCTGGCCATCTCGCTGCTTTAGATCTTTTCGACGACCTGCCATTCCCGTCGTTGATCGATTGTGCTCATTTGTGGTCACATGACATTGCCAAGCACAATTTCCTGGTTGGGGTGTCTCAGGGCATTTTGTCGCGGGATGGTTTTCCCCGCCCAAATTAGAATGGTGAAGCACAAGAAGAAGAAGGCTCATTTAGCATGTGGAGACTGGGAGGGTATCGATGGAGTTTGGATTACGAGGTCCCGATGCAAACAGTGTACAGCATTGTTCGCCAAAAGATGATGAGGAAGGAGTTTAGATCCTCGTCCATTTCTCGTAGTATGAAGATGCAGCAGTGGCGGTTGGGAGTATTGGGGGTTCATCCAAGCAGACCAGAGGTGAACACAGTGATAAGCACAACCATGATCCTTTGTTTTTCGATTTTAACTACCACTTACCACGACACAATGGTGGCGATGGCGAAGCAGTTGATGATGAGCATCAAGCTTATAGCTATGATCCTTTTTATGTTGTTGCCTGTGATCTGCATAAGAGGGATCTGTACGATCAGGAAGAGATCATCCCCTCGCGAATAGCCAAGCAACGCGTCTTGAGTTCAAGTGCTTGGGGTACCATGGAATTGGTGATCCTCTGGGTCGGGGTGTGTTCAAGCCTGTGATCCCCTTCTGGCCGGCTCCAATGCCAGAAGGACCTCGTTTCGGGAAGAGAGTTGTTAACTGAACTTGTTTGTGGAGTAGCTAGGTAGCTAGCCGAGGGAGGAGGAGGGTCGTAATTCTTGTTCCTGGTCCACTCTGATTGCTTCAAAAGCAAGAAAATACAGACGCACAGCAGGCATAGCACCTGGTTTTGGTTATTGGGAGACTGCAAGAGAGAATCCAATGGCAAATGCTTTTATGTTTTGAATTTGGCCCACTAATTAAATTAGTTTATCCAAAAAGGCAGTCTATTTGTTAATTCCAGTCCACAATCCCCTCATTGACAAATTTCAATCATCTTTCGAAAATAAAGATTGCATTTTGCAGTAGGGAGATGATGAACGGTATGATTTATAAGGGCCAATCACGGCCCATTATTATTATTTAAACTCATATGTGTACAGGGTTCCTTAATTCTCTTACATGATCACCAAACAATATTTCGGTACTTGTGGATGTGTCCATCGTAGTCCGTAACACGTACTAAGTCTATTGTATTTTTTAAAATAGTTGGCAACAACATATGCTTTATTATATTTCAATTAATAGGAAATAGTTTTTTTTAGGCAAAATACATTTGTATATCCATAACTTTCACGTTTGTGACAAATATATCCATAACTATCGAAATACACAATTCCGTCCATTTTGTTAACGGCGTCAGTTGACGGTATAACTAGACTAACGGTAGAAGCTGAGTTGGTGATTGATTTAGCCCACCAAATTACGTGGATTATAAAGAAAAAAAAATAACAAAAATTAAAATACAAAAACAGAAACAGAAAGAGAAAGAGACGGGACTAAACCCTTTTCTTCCCTTCCCCACCGCTACTCTTCCCCGGAAGAGCGACCTCCCATCTTCTCCCTTCTTCTTTGAATCTCCCCATCAATCTCTCTTTCCAACCTCTGATCTACCCTTCTTCTTCTCTGCATCTCAGTCCCAACCTCCGATCTTCCCCCTTCTTCCTTGAATCCCCTGTCAATCTCTCTCCCAACCTTCAACCCGGATTCATAACTGTCGGTCAACACGCCATACGAGCTCTAGGCGACATCGAGAATCTGGCAGCAAGCATCGCCCATGAAATTCCTAGGAAGCAGATCGCCCCCTAAATCATTTCTAATTCTTCTTTCTCTGCCCCGTCAAATCGTACAAGCAATCGAAGTCCAGACCCATGATTTTGAAGTTCAATAGATGCTCGAAATTGATGCGGCGAAGAGCTTCCGCTGGCGGTTGCAGATCCATATCCCTTTTGCCTAATAAGCTTCTTCTCAGTGGTAGCAGTTGGCAGGGGAAGAGCCAACTTCTTCTCAAAATTCCCAGAACCCGATTTCCCTCTTTCCTCCTTTTGTTTGATGTTGAATGCTACTCTTCGAGGTTGGGTACGGGCAGCAGGGGGAAGGATCTGGTTTGCGACGAGAAAGCTCAGAAGCACATGGACGATAATTCGTCTGGTACATTTTTTGACCCAAAAACTCATCCTCTCTCCTTCTATTTTTCTTTGGTTGATTTGATTTCAGTTTTTCGAGATTCAAGTTTCTTTCCAGAACTATTATTAGGTTTAAGAGGAGTAATGGGGGATCTGATTATTAGGTTTAGGAGGAGTAATGGGGATATGATTTTATTAGGTTCCTGAACTATTATTACCTTATTCTTCTTCTTTGTCATCGACGTTTTCTAAAGATGGTTTTTTTTTTCCGATCAGCTACTGTGTTCGGCGAGCTATAGAGGTTGTAGCCATGGGAGAGAGAAGAAATCAATGTGGCGGAGAGAATTTTTTTTATTTTTTTATTTTTTGCTAATATGGCGTCCATATGTCCAATTTTGTTGACCTGGAGCTTAGGTGTGGGATGGGTATGGTCCTAGTCAGTGTTCCGTCACATTTACTGACGCCGTAACAAACGGCGTTAAAGTTTGTAACAGAAATGGATAGATTTGTCACACGATAGTACGCTTATGGATATTTCGTGTATTTCGATAGTTATGGATATATTTGTCACAAACGTGAAAGTTATGAATATAGAAGTGTATTTTGCCTTTTTTATGGAAAAACATAATAGGAAGGAGTGATTGTTGTAATACGAAAGAGTTCCTATTTTGAAGATTGATAGCAACTAACAGGGTAGAGAAATTATTGGGTTTCACCTAATAGGAAAGAGTTAGTATTTTGATAGAGCAAGGTTAGTATTTTTACGATTAATAGCAAATGCGGTGATTCCTTACTTCCCCCTCTTCTCGTTTTCCCTAATTTATTTTACATTTATTAACTTGCTTTTTAATCTTCGTGACTCATTAACCTATCCGTTTAGTATCATTTTGTTGTTGTTGTGGTTGCAGTGGTGTTGTGTAAACAGATGTACAATCACAACAGGAAAAAAACAGAAAACACAAACCTGTTTAGTTGATAAATCTGAAAAATCATTAAAGCTGAAAACAAGAAACAAAAATGCGTTTAGTTACTACAAAAACGCGGGTTGGCGGGCTGGGCTGGCTGCGCGGCGGAGGGGTCGGGCTGCGCGGCGGGCTGGGTCAGCGCGGAGGCGGAGGGGTCGGCAAGCGGACGTCGGCGGCGGGTCGGCGGGCTGGCTGCGCGGCGGAGGGTTCGGGCTGCGCGGCAGGCTGGATCGGCACGGAGGTAGAGGGGTCGGGCGCGGAGGCGGAGGGGTCGGCGACTGAGAAGGTGGCGGGCGGCGCGGCGGAGGTGAGGCGGAGGTGGCGCCTTGTTGAGAAGGGTGGCCGGTGACGCCTCTGTTGAGAAGGGTTTAGGGGGAGAATAGTTTGGGGGGCGGCGGCTGATATGTTAGAAGTAGGGTTTGAGGGGTGGCGGCTGTGTTAAAAAAAAAGAAATTTTTTTGCTTCTGTGGGGATTCGAAAATTGGTCTGGTTTAATGAAATCAAATGCCCAACCAGTAGGAATCCCGTGTGCAACATGTTTTAAAATCAGATCCAAAGCAATAAATTGTTGTTTCTCATATTTGGGCCTTGTTGTGCAACTCTGATTCGCAACAGAAAATAGAAACCCAACTAAACATGTTTTTTTTTCTTGGTTTCTCCTCTAATTCAAAATTTCCTTTTCAAGCTTTTGCATATGTATCCAAATTCAAAATCGCCGGTTCGGATTTGACGGTTTTGCCGGGTAACCGGTTGAACCGTTCTAGTTCCGGCCGGCGATATTCAATATATCCGTTTTAACTTTTAACTTTATAAGCCTTCCGCAACCGGAATACTGCCCGGGTCCGGTTTTGCCGTTTTGATAACAACACTGTCCAAAACACGTCGTTTTGCCCCACCGTTTTACCCACCGTAACCCTAGAAATCTCTCGCTTGCTCGGCGGACATCTCCATCTCCATCACCCTCCAGCAGCCCCGCCCCATCATCGTTACCGCCATCATCGTTTCTACATCGCCAGCCCCGCGCCGCCGTCTCATCCCCTCGAAGCCATCATCTTTTCTTCCTCGCCAGCCCCGCATTCGAGATCTTCTTCCTCTCCCTCGCCAGCCCCGCGCCGCCATCATCAACCGATAAATTCTGCTGATCTAGCAAAAAGAGAAGAGTTCAGCTAGGAGGGCTTATTACTAGGAGCAATGGCGAGATACGATAGAGCTATTACCGTCTTTTCGCCCGATGGCCATCTCTTCCAGGTCGAATACGCACTGGAGGCCGTCCGCAAGGGAAACGCGGCCGTCGGCGTCCGTGGCACCGACACCGTCGTCCTCGGCGTCGAGAAGAAATCCGCCGCCAAACTTCAGGACTCCAGGTTCTTTATCCTTCTTCTGCCTCTTCCGATCCCCTTTTTCTCTAATTTCACCTTTTTAGTTCGAGAGTTTGAAGCAATATGTTAGGGTTTTTCGTATCCTCTAGCAGTTACTCGCAGTTGATAAGATTTGGGCTGTTAGTGATATAGAAATCAATGGTAGGATTGTGTTTGCTTTAATAGGTTGCGGATGAAGGGGAAACGAAATTGCCTATTTCTGAAATGTTGCATATGAACGATTGTTATCTTGCTTCATTCCAGAAACGTTTATTGCTTGCTATTTCTTATCTTTGCGCTGCTACAATCTTGCAGATCAGTGAGGAAGATCGTTAACCTTGATAATCATATTGCTTTGGCATGTGCTGGCCTTAAGGCAGATGCTCGAGTGCTAATCAACAGGGCCAGAATTGAATGTCAAAGCCACAGGCTAACAGTGGAGGATCCTGTCACTGTTGAGTATATCACCCGTTACATTGCTGGACTTCAGCAAAAGTACACACAAAGCGGCGGTGTCAGGCCATTTGGACTTTCGACCTTGATCATAGGGTTTGATCCATACACTGGGGTGCCCTCACTTTATCAGACAGATCCTTCTGGAACTTTTTCAGCTTGGAAAGCAAATGCAACTGGGAGGAACTCCAACTCCATCAGAGAGTTTCTGGAGAAGAATTATAAAGAAACTTCTGGTCAAGAAACCATCAAGCTTGCAATCCGGGCCTTACTGGAGGTATGTACTCATATCTTGTCCTATTGGATGTAGTGAGATGTGGGGATAATTTTTGGCAAAACCTATTATGCTTTATTATGGTTTGTTGAGCCAACAAAGATCAATGTCTGGATAGCATATGGAACAGTTTGTTTTATAGTTTGTAGAACCAATAAGATCAAATTCTGTATACTATATGCAACGGTTTAACATGATTTCTGTCCGATGATAGCAATATAGCTTTGGTTACCAGCATTTCTTTTCCCCAAATGGTTATGAATAGTGAGTTTGCTTTGGAAGACATAATCTGATGTAGGTTTGGCAAAAACAACTCCTGAATTTCATCTTAAGCTGAAACACATAGAGTCAATGTTCAGTTTCCTTCCATCATTTCTTCCTTTGGACTTCTTGCAAACTTGTCTTCTTTTTGCTAGGCCGTATAGAATTCCTTATTGTATAAAGCACATTCAACAGAAAGTATTGATTGACCGATTAAGTCAAGTTTGATGAAACTGGTCCATAGGATGCTGGTCATGTGGGACTTTTGACATCAATTGTAAACTAAATTGTTCCAGGCTTCTTGCTGAACGATCATGGGTCGAAACCAACTGAATTAGTTCGTCACTCATTTGAAAAGGGAAACTGCTGCTACATGTGTTGTGAATCAGCCTCCGAGATTCTGAAATTTTCGTTTCTGTGTGTAGGTTGTGGAGAGCGGTGGAAAGAATATTGAAGTGGCAGTAATGACGAAAGACCAAGGCCTACGACAACTTGAAGAGTCTGAAATTGATGGTATTGTGGCTGAGATTGAAGCGGAGAAGGCAGCTGCTGAGGCTGCCAAGAAGGGCCCTGCTAGAGACGCATGATATTAGGAACCCCCCCTGAATTTGTCCTGCCAATAGGCCACAGAACATTCCGTTGTTTTTGTTATCTTGTGCTACAGCTCTTAATGTGTTCGAAGTTATCAGAGTTTGATTATAGATTTCAGAGGTGCTATTCAACATTTCGTTTTCATGTATTTCAGTCTCCAGATTAACGGTGTGGAATTTTAACTTGGCAAATGATTTCTGAGCCTCCTGCTTTGACTTTTGTTTCCTTTTTACTGCATTTGAGGGCTCCGTCTCTCCCCACTTTTTTCCAAAGCCCGTTAACAACCAACACTTCAGTTTTCATTCATCAGTGGGGAAGAAAGGGAAGAAAAACTAGGTGGGTGTGAGAGCGATTATTTGATTTGCCATTTTTCTTTGCGCTATGATTCTGCTCTCATCTGTTTCACCATTTTTGTGCTTTTAGGTCTGCTATGTGTTTGATGCATTGTCTCAGACTGTTTGTTGGATTTACCCCTAAGGTATTGTCTGATTGTGACTCTGTGAAGAGCCCAACATCAGCTCTAGATTTCAAGCTGCTTCCAGCTGTAGGAGGAAATCCACCTTAAAGCTCCCCAAGGTCATTCCATCAGAAGAGTTGGGATCGTAGCAGACTCGGCTTAAGCATTGTAGATTCTCTTGATGATGATCTTATCAAAACCTCTGGCAAAGTTCCTCGTCCATCGGAAAGTAGGAACATTCTTTTTGGCCCAGGGGTGAGAAGCAAGGCATCAAACTCTAATAGTCATACATACAGTGCTGTTGAGGCAGCCAAGTCACTTCCAAGAAATTTTGCTATAGTTCCTCGTAATACCCACACCAAATCTTCCCTCCATAAGGCCAGCTCTGATGTTCTTTTCGAAATCGGAGTGGCCATAGATGATCCTGAACCACCCTTTGGAAGAGTGAGTCTTGTCATTGGATTCTTGCAGGTCTTATTTCAAACCTGTCATCTCTGACTGAGTGGCCAGAAGTGCAAACCCAGTTCTGCAGCTTCTCGTTTGTCTAACTTAACTACTGCCCAACTGAATCCTCCTGTATTAGTTGGAGGGAGCGTGGCTACAAATGAGTTACCTGGTCCTGGTGTGAACTCGAGTTGTGCGATTAGCACTCTCTCAGCCAGTGAGATTGAGCTCTCAGAGGATTATACATGTGTTATTTCACATGGTCCCAATCCAAAAAAGACTCATATCTATGGCGACTGTGTTTTTAGAATGTCACTTGGATGAGTTGAGCAATTTAGGCAACAAAGGAAAGAAGGATGCTGGACTACCCTCCTGGCATCAATCCAGCTTCATTCCCCTCTGATCACTTTTTGAGTTTCTGTCACTATTGCAACAAAGAATTGGAAGAGGGGAAGGATATCTATATTTACAGGTCAGTCTTGTTTTTTTTACTTCTTCTTTTAGTTCAACTTCCAGCATTTTAACATTCTTGAAGTTTAATCTGTTGTCATTGAAGCACTTGTATCTTTTCTTCTTTGGCCTTCAAAAAATGCAGAGGTGAGAAGGCTTTTTGCAGTTTACTGAGTTTAGGTTGTCGCTCACAAGAGATAATAATTGATGAGGAGTTTGAGGAAAACAAAATCGAGGATGCTCATGGTAATATTGGTGAGGTATTGGAGAAAACCGATGATGCTCGTGGCTCTCGCTCGCCATAGCCCACAATGGTTGCTTTGAGTCATCGGATGAGGTGACCTTTAACACTATCGCACTTGAGAAGAAAGAAAATTTTAAGTTAGAATAATTATGTGTAGTAGTAAAAAAAAAAAAAAAATCATTGTTGCCAGACTTCACTTCGATAAATTTTTCGCATATAAAATTATTACTACACGATAATATTTTCATACTATCAAGATTTAAATTGATCTGTAACAAAAAAAAAAAAAATTGCTCCAATAGATATCAAATGGATGTTGTAAGACTTGCAATAGAAGTAGGGGTTGTAAATCCGATACCAAACCGATAAGGGTGGTTACTGGTTTACTGATAACCGATAATTTCTTATTGGTTTGGTTTCGCTTAACAATAACTTGCTTAGTGGTTAAGCGCTAGCTGACTAATTGCTTAACAATATTTTGCTTAGTGGTAAAACCACATAATTTTGGATTTTTTTCTAAGGAAAAAGTTCCAACATTAATAACCAACAAAAGTTGCAATTTCAAACACCCCAATTCCCACCTAAAGCGAATGGGGGCAGCTTGTATCCGGGAGCGCTTAGACAGAGCTCTTTGCTCCCAGTCCTGGCTGGACCGTTTCCCTGATACTCTAGTAAAACACTTTACGGATCAGGGTTCGGATCACCGGGCACTCTTGCTTTCCGATAAGCCTTACGTCCGCAATAGTCGGCCTCTTTTCAGGTTTGATGCGCGTTGGGCCGATAATCCGGAAGTAAGAGCCATGGTGACCTATGTCTGGAAGGAAGAGGTTCAGGGAACTCCCATGTTTCGTCTTTGGGAGAGACTCAAAAAACTTCGTCATTTGTTGTATGATTGGAGCAGAGCAGGAACAACGAATTCGTTAAGAAATATTAGGACTCTGCAGGCAGAAATTGACCGCCTCAAGAAAACCCATCCCATTAATTGGGACGAGGTCCGAACTCTTGAGATTGAGTTAGGTAGGCAGTGGGAGGCGGAGGAGGAATACTGGCAGCAAAAATCCCGAGTCCGTTGGTTACAAAGGGGGGACAAAAATTCATCGTATTTTCATACGGTGACGAGGACCCGTCGGAAAAAGAATTTTGTGAGTGGGCTTCGGGATGATGATGGCCAATGGGTGACGGATGAGAAAGGGAAAGCGGATATTGCTACTAAATATTACAGTACCCTCTTCACGTCCGAAAACCAGGTTCAGGATATGCATAGACGTATTCATAGTTTGCCTATTGCCCAAAGTGTGACCCCGATCATGAAAAAAGCTCTAACGGCTACTGTTCTCCCTGATGAGGTCCGAAGAACTGTGTTTGCCATGGGTTCAAAACAAGCCCCGGGGTCAGACGGTTTCACTGGAAAATTTTTTAAGGCCTTCTGGGATATTGTGGGACCTTCGGTAGTTGAAGCAGTCTGTTCTTTCTTCACCTCTGGGCGGATGCTACGCAGTTTCAACCACACCTGGCTCACATTAATACCTAAAGTGGATTCTGTGGAAACAATGAAGCAGTTGCGTCCCATAAGCTTATGCCAATTCGTGTACAAAATTATAACCAAGATTTTGGCAGAACGCTTGTCCGTGATTCTTCCTCAGGTGGTTTCAGAAGGTCAGAATGGCTTTATCAGAGAGCGTCAGATAGTAGATAATATCTTACTCGGGCATGAGCTCATGCATTATTTGAAAACCAAAACGCAAGGGAAGAAAGGGTTCATGGCCCTGAAGGTTGACATGGAAAAGGCCTATGATAGAGTCGAATGGCCCTTTCTCCTTGAGGTTTTGGTTAAGATGGGTTTTAGCTCTACCTGGGTAGGATGGATTAAGGAATGCCTCATCTCTGCTTCTTTCTCAGTTTTGATGAATGGTACTCCGTCGGGATACTTTTCCCCTTCTAGGGGGTTGCGCCAAGGGGACCCGTTGTCGCCTCTCCTTTTTGTGCTGTGTACTGAAGGGTTTGTGGCGCTTCTCCAGAGGGCGATAGCGGAAAAAAAGTTGGCTGGGATTAAAGTGGCTCCGCGGGCGCCCAGACTGTCACATTTATTTTTTGCCGATGACTCGTATCTATTTCTGTGAGGTAACCTCCAGGAGTGTGAGAACCTTATTGAGGTTCTCAATGAATATGAGGAATTGAGTGGCCAAAGGGTTAATCTGGCCAAATCGGCAGTATGCTTCAGTAGGAATATAATGCAACAAGACCAAGAATTCTTGGCAGCAGTGCTGGGGGTGGGGGCAGTTGGCGTCCATGATAAGTATCTGGGTCTCCCGTCTTTGGTGGCCAGATCGAAGATGGAGACATTCCGTTATGTGGAAGCCAAATTGTTGGAACGTCTCCAGGGATGGAAACAGAGGACTCTTTCGTGGGCAGCCAAAGAAACGCTTATCAAATCCATTGCCCTGGCTCTGCCGTTGCACGTGATGTCCTGTTTCAAGCTCCCTTTGTCCCTGTGCCGCCTTTTAGACAGGCATGTGGCCCGGTTCTGGTGGGGTGAGAATGAAGGGCATTCGAGGGTGCGGTGGATGTCGTGGCGGGACATGTGCAGGAGTAAGCATGAGGGGGGGGTATGGGGTTCCGCCGTTTTGAGCTTTTTAATCAGGCACTCTTGGCTAAAATTGGGTGGCGTATCATCAGTGAACCGGATTCCTTGCTAGCCCAAGTGTATCGGGGTAAATACTTCCCTAATGGCCATTTCCTAACAGCAAAAGCTAGGTCTAGGCCTTCTTGGGGTTGGCAGAGTATCCTGTTTGGTCGCCAGCTTCTAGAGATGGGATTGAGATGGCAGGTTGGGAATGGGCGCGCAGCATCTATGCTCCATTCTACTTGGGTCCCGGAATTTCAGTTTCAGCCCATTTGTTACAATCCTCAGGTGTTGTCGGCTGGTGGTGACCCTCTGGTGGCCGAGCTTATTTGTCAAGGGGAGGGGCGTTGGTGTGACCAAAAACTATTGCAGTGGTTTGACCCCGTGACGTGCCGTCTAATCAAGGCTATCCCGCTCCCGCGAGACAATGTTGAGGATAAGCTCATTTGGTATGGAACAGCGGATGGGGTGTTCTCGGTCAAATCGACTTACCATCTGGCTGTCTCATTGGAGAAAAGGAGAGGGCGTGGGAGGGCTTCTGTAGATTGGATGGATAGGGCTAGTTGGATTCGGCTGTGGGAGGCTAATATCCCGCCTAAGCTTAAGGTTTTTGCTTGGCAGATCTTCAATCGAATTTTGCCGACTACTGAGGCGCTTATTAGTCACCATATCCCGGTCCTGCCCCGTTGTCCGGTCTGTTGGGGAGGCCCAGAAACTTTGGAGCATCTTTTTTTGGATTGTCCGGTCGCGCGTGCCCTGTGGGGGGCGGCGGGGTTGGAACATCTAGGGGAGGGCCTTCCACGGCATACCTTCCCTTTGTTCCTTAAGAAGTTGCTGGCCTTGGTTTCTCAGCCGTCGCTGTGGATGGCCATTTTTGCGGTACTTTGGCGGATATGGAAGTCCCGAAACTGGGTTGTTTTTGAAGGAAAGCAATTTAGTCTTCCGGCGCTTATACGCCAATTTACCCAGCAAGTGGAGGAATGGGCGCGTCTCCCGGTTGAAGACAGGTTCCCAATCCCGGTAGTAGTGGAACAAGGCCCTGGGATGGTGGGCTCTGCTGAGTTAGTCTGTACTTGGGATGGTGCCACGAGGAGGGGTTCGTATTCGGCGGGTGGCATGGTGCTTATGACTGCCTCTAGTGCCGTCCTCAGGGTTGCCGGTGTCCAGTTTCCAGTCATTGATGATCCTGCGACTGTGGAGTTGATTGCGCTACGTGAGGCTCTTCTCTGGTGCTTGGGCCAAGGTTTAGCCTCGGTTAGGTTTGAAGGAGATGCTAAGGTTGTCATTGACAAAATCAGGAGGAGGGATTCAAGAGACAGCAGGTTGGGTGCTATTTTGGAGGAAGTGATAAAGATCTTTGATAGTAGCCCTGGGTTCAGTGTTCGTTTTGTAGGTCGGCATAGAAATAGGGTAGCCCATTTGGTGGCTAGAAAAGCCCTCGCTTTGTATCCGACTATGAGTCGTGCTTTTAATTTCCAGGCCTGGCTGGTTTCCAGGATGTAACTATTGTTTTCATTATCAATATATGATTATCTTTTGTCAAAAAAAAAAAATTCCCACCTATTGCAAACAACATTTACCAAGATTCTCAAATGCGTTAAGAGTGAGAACTCAAAAGTTATCCCTCTCTAACTCCCATTTGCAGTCGCCAGAGCGAACCTTGCACCCTATTGATATTTTTTCTTTGATATTTGTGAATGATGATGATCTTGTGGTGCTTGTGTTCGATGTCTTGTTGGTTGGTACTCGCTAATTGGATGAATAAGTTTGATTCTTTTTTTATTTTATGCATTGGATTTTGGATTAAATTATGAATTCTCGATGAATGTTGTATTGATATTATTTCTTAAAATTATTATTATATGTCAACAATGTAGTAAAGCAGTTAAAATATTTTGAATTATTTGTATGATTATTTATCTTTGATATTTAGTACTCTTGGTCATTGTTATCTTTGTGAATTGAAAATGATGTTAAATTATACATGTTAAACTCGATTTGATAATGATTTTGTATTACAAATGGTTGTGGCTTCGATTCATTATATTTCGTGAAACAAAATTGAAGCTATTGGTTCGATATGTGGCCGGATTAGGTATAATCGCAGTTGTTGGAATGTGTATTAGTGGTTATTGATTAAACTAACCAATAACTGAACTGATAAAGGACAATCAATTGATAAGACTTCTCTATATGAGTTTTTATTTATTGCTTAATTACTAATCACCATATCAGTTACTCGTTAATCGAAATCAAACCAATTAGCACTCCTAAATTAGAACACTTATGATTCAAAACACATTCGAACACCACACCACCTCGAAAAGTGAATCGGGCTGTCCATTATGTGGTGCGTAATGCCCTATACTATCTTGATATTAGTAATGTCCTATTTAATTATTCGTACATGGTATTTCTTTGAGTCCATGTAGCCGTGTAGGGCATGTAATTGTTGTGGCATCACATACTTATCTGGTTAATTTCCAATGATTTCTATGAAAGAAAAAAGAAAAAAAAAACACGGGCCGGGCTTTACCAGCTTATTCTCAAAGTACCTCGGAATGGGCCTTTCCCCTTTTTCTTCGTTCTTCCATTCTGGCTGGCCATTTGTTCTTCATTCTTCTCTGCTGGCTGGCGATTTCAGAAAACGATCGGAGAAGGCGTAACGGATCGTGACCTAACCGGCGGCGTCGAGTTGGTTCGAAGGAAGGCAAGTTCACCCTCTTCTTTGGAGGATCAACAATTTCCTAGTAGGCCACTCTTCTCTTTCTGTCGATTTATTATGGTTCGTGTTTTGACTGATTTGTTTGCCGACGAACGGCTGCCTGAAGAGGGATTACCTGTTGAATTAGAATCGATTGAATGTAGATAGTGTTTTGTTGTGAAATGGATTGCATAAGGTTTTCTCAATCATTGGAGTCGGCCAAAGATTAGAAGATTGGTAGTGGATTCTTGGTCACTGGCATGTCCTTGGAAAACCCAGGGTCGAAATGGACGTGGGCATTAGCAATGAGACCTTGTCTCGTCCACGCGCCAAGTGGAGAAAGGTGGCATATGGAGGAATGCAACCTGGATTCGATGACAATCACACCGACGAGTCGTTTCTCGAAGATATGGTGATGAATGCCAATGTCGTGAAAAGGGACATAACGAAGGTGATCTTGGACTCTGTTTCCATCTCTCAGTATCTCTGCATTGTTTCCCTTGTCATCTTGGTCTGGAACTACACCCTCCAATCCACACTGGACGAGTATTCCTTGTTGTTTCTCGATGTCGGTCTTCTCGCTTCAGGCTTCGTCACTCTGCTACTAACCAGAGAAATGTGTTCGCTCGGTCTGTTCTTCCACTATCTTCTCAACATTGGGTTCTTCACCACGGGGTTATACGTGTTGTCGCCTATATACAACACCCTGACTAGGTCGATAAGCTCGGACACGATCTTGGCAGTGACAGTTTCACTTATTGTACTTCATCTCTTCCTCCATGACTATTCAGGATGTCCCATAGGGGTTCCAGGAGGAGCCTTATTCACAGCTCCAAGCTTGACCAGTTGTGTGAGCTTAAATGCTTCTGTGGTTGCTTCAGTTTTTATTGCCTCTCGCCTTCCGTCGAGGCTTCACGTTTTTGCCGTCATGCTGTTCTCTATGCAAGTCTTCCTGTTTGCTCCATTCGTCACTTACTGTATCAAGAAGTGTTCTTTGGCGCTTCACCTCGTCTTCTCCTGTGGGTTGATGGCCTTGACGCTCAGCCTCGTGTATGCGCTTCACAAGCTGCTGTTTGTAGTGTTGCTGGGTTTGTTGGTGTTCGTCAGCGTGGTTTGTCCTTGCTGGCTGATAAGAATCCAGGAGTACAAGTTTGAGATCAATGGTCCGTGGGATGAAGCTAAGCTTTGTTTTGACATAAGGGATTGAGAGTTTGTTGTTTGCTTATATAGAAACTGTTGTATATACGTTACTTTTGCAGCCCTTCGATTTTTTTAACTGTTGCTTGAATTTGCTACTGCATAGGAAACATGTGCTAATGGTGTTATGTAAACTTTGTTGGACGAAGTGGATTGAAAAAGGTCTTCGGCCCGAATTCAATTTGACTGTTCTGAAATAGGAGCTGGAAAATTTAGAACCAAAACAATCCTCTATACATTGACTCTGACGTGGGGTGTTGCAAACACTTCGACCTAGATTGATATTGAATCCACATATAATTTACATAATAGATGCATGGTATATATGTGATTGTACTTTGTAGACATCCTTCATCTTAATTTTGTGGTAATAAAATTTGATCCACAGACTTATATGCTTTACATAGCTTATTTACCGGTGAAACCACTCACAAGTCTTCCAATTGTAACAAATCTATTCCATCTCAACCTTGAAATAATCGATAAAACTCCAACCCATTATCACCTCGTTAAGATACGATTTGCTATTTATTTTTCCAGTCCTCACCCAAATTTCTAATCCATCTCAACCTTAACCATGTACTTCTAAGTTCTAACACTATGCAATTTACCCCTATGCAGTACTCACCTATACAATGCAGTTAAAAGCGCATTTCTATCTAGAAGCGGAAAATGGGTAAAATCATAAAACGTAGAATCAAAGCGTAAAAGCGTAAGTTTTTGACGCACCCTCTAAAATAGCTAAAATATGTTAAGTACAACATATATAGTATGTAAAATGTGAGTGTGTAGATTTTAGTTAAGTGAATAACTACATGAAATTCATAATTAAAATGTAATATCTAACACATAAACTAATTTGTGTTGACTTAAAAGTAGAGAAAACTCATAACATCTTAATAATAAGCTCATAAACGTAGATCGTAACCCGTAAACGAGTTTGAGAATCCAAATTCTCATAAGCTGGGTTGATTTTACATAATTACATACGATCAATTACCCATAAACTTTTATCGTAACCCAGGTAGGAGCCACAGGTGAAGATTAAGGGAGAAGACTGATAGAAGGTCAGCGGCTCTTGAGAATACCATTAGGTGTCTTTTCAACCTAATGTGAAGCCCCTATCTCGACACTAGTTGTAGAACGAGTGATGAATCATGTTTTCCTTTTTTTATTTTTTGCTGATATGTCTCCAAAATTACATCATTTTGGGCCAATTAGCACATTTTTATGAGATGAACAAAATCGAATAAAAACGTTTCAGAATCGCGATTTTACCATGTTTTTACCAGTTTTTGTGACTAAGCGACTTTAAGTTGAAAATGAAACATTTTGGTGGTCTGAATACGTAAAAACGTAAATTTTTACGTTTTAATGCGCGATTTTGACTGCACTCTGCAGCTATGTACTGATATACACTTCACTTCTACTTCACTAACTGGCTAGTAGCTAGGCCGCCAATTTCCTCAGCTTGAGCAGCAAATGAACCACAACTCCACACACGAACCCAACCGCCGCACCCGACCCGACGAGCGAAACCGAACAAACAACCAACATCACAAACGCATCCTCCTTCGACCTCATATCTCTGGCAGCAATCGCCAGCTCGATCCCAGCAAACAGCAACAAAACCCCCAAAACCCCAACCGGAAACTCCCTCAGTATAACCACGAGCGAACCGCCCAAAACCAACCCCAACCCCAACTTAACCAACCCCAAAATCGCCACGCAAGAACCGGACCGCCCTCCGAACCTGTACTGCCCGGCCAGGCCTCCCGCCCCGTGGCAGCACGGCATCGCTCCGAACCAGCAACCCACCAGGTTCATCGCCCCGACCGTCACGGAAACGGAACCCGCCGTGAACTCCTTCCTCCCCGGAAATAGATCGGACGACAGCTTGCAGACGGCGATCACGGAGTTCAGCAACGATAACGGCAGCTGCGGGATAGTCCCCTTCAGAAACCCTGTTTTCCAGGCCCGTCTCGAGATCTTGACTATTTCGATCGGGGATGGGCCGAACGTGATATCGTGGACCATCTTGGGCTTTCTTATAAAGCCCAGTACCAATCCCAATGCAAACACCAGAAACGCAGAAGGTAGCGAGGAAATGACTTTTCTAACCCTTTTCAGAACTCTGTTTCCAGATTCACAATTCCCCTGTTCTTCCGCGCTCTCCTCTGTTTCCCCGGCGCCATTAACGATCACGATGAAGCAGGCGCAGGAGATCGCGAGAATTAGGCCGTCGAGCCCGACCCAGTCCCTTCCGCCGAGGTCGGATTTGGGTTTGGAAAAGTTTTGGGCCTTGCGGACGTACTTGACGGCGGTGAGCGCGAAGGCGAGGCCCTGGGAGAGCTGGATCCCTCTGACGACGGAGAGAGGGATTAGTTTGTAGATCAATTGCATCAGCCCCGTGACTCCCAGGACCATCAGGGCGCCTCCGGTGCAGATCCCGGCGGCCATGATCTCCGGGACTCCGAAATCGGGGGACGAGATTGCGACCGCGGCGATGGATTTCATGGGCTGGACGGGCATGGGGACGCCGTAGATGGCGCCGGTGATGATGTTGTAGATTCCGGTGAAGATTAGGGTCGTGCCGAGGTTGAGGTCCTGGGAGAGGGTTAAGGCGAGGACGATTGGGATGTAGGTGCCGAGGTCGCCCATGGCGCCGTTGAGCTCGGCCCATTTGGAGCGGATTGCCAAATTCTTCTTCAGGGTTCGAAGGATTGTGGTTGTGGGCGGTGGTTCCGGGTGGTTTGTTGGGTTTTGGTGGGTCGGCGGTGAGTTGGGTATAGGGATAGACGTGTGATGGTCCGCGCTGTTCTGCAGAGACTCCATTGATGCATGCGGTGCTGCAGACAATGATGAACTGGACTGTGGTTTTTGAAGAAATTGAGTGAGGTGAGTTGAATTGGGCTCTGACATATATAGTTTAGAGAAATGGGCCGAAAGGTAATTAAGAAAGAAGGAATCTTTTTTTGTGAATTTATTAGTTACACAAAGTCAACGGCCATTTTCAAGGTGAGAGCTGGGGAAGAACTGAGCTGATGAACTGAGGCTCCTGGATCTGTTGCAGTATTTTCCGTCTTCCCCTTTGGCGGGCACGAGGGGCCACCATAAATCTTGCTACAATTTCAACCTCACTATGTGCTTACTATGGAATATCGACATCTTTATTCTCGTCCATTTTGTTAATGGCTACTTCTTCGTCCCACTCCCACTGTTACTTTCAGTATTCTCATCGAATCATTGAAGACTTATCTGTACAAACTATAATATGTGGGGAGTTTTATTGTACATTGGATGAATAAGTAAGAAATTGTTGTTATTTGAACTTTTGATTGACCACAGTTTGAAACATGGTACAATAATTTAACCCTTAAAAATCAATTTATAGGTTCTAATTCTCTTAATTTTATACACTCGAATCGATTTAGTTAGAAATAATAATTAGCTTATATGCATCATTTAATCACCTATAAAATAGAGAATGTAATAAATGAAGGCACCGAGGCTCATCAAGAGAATTCAAAATAAATAAATGAGGACCATCCAAAGTTGTCGAAATTATCAAATATAATACCGATACATATCAACCCTTCTTCATCTTTTTCTTTATTTTTTTTTTCTTCCGGTCCACTTTTAGAAGTGTTTTTATCATTCAGAACACTGAAAGTTAGGCCAAATATCTCTATAAATTTGGAGTTTTTCTTTTTGCAGAATAAAAATGGAGTTTCTGCAAAAAAATATTTTGAAATAACATAATTATCTTTTTTAATTTTTTTTTAGAAAACATACTTTTCTGTCATTTTTATAATTTTAAAAAATAAATTAGAAAATAATATTATTCAAGATAAAAGAAACCTAACAATATATATTTTTGACTAAATTTTAAGTTTTTTATTTATTAATACCAATGTTGTCAGAACCGAACCGGAGCATGACTCGGTAATGCGAACGGCTCGCACTTTAGCGGTCCAACCAACATTAGACCGTTTAAAAACCGTTAGAGAACCAGTATCTAATAAACGTTATTAGTATAAATAGTGGACAGTTCTTAATCAGAGCTCATCTCTTTCCTTCGAAATTGTGAAATGGAAATAAGGATTCAATTTGAGAGCTCGACATTTTTGGTTTATTTCAATTTTCTATAATTTTTTTAATTAAATTTAGTGGCTGAATGGCAAAAACCGGACAAGCGGCTCTATCGGCTCGAACGGTTAACCGCCTCGGCCGCTCGCCAACCGCTACATAAAACCGGAGCAGCTTTTAGACTGTTCCGAGCCGGTTTGGTGACCGGGTGGCGGTTTTACCGGTTGGGCCGAGCGGCTCGGCTCGGCTTTAATAACACTGATTAATACTCATATTTCCCATTATGAACTTTTTATCATTTTACATGACACATATTAAAAACTAATTCTAGTAGTTTTTCATTAAAACACTCAGCTATTTTTATTAAGTGTTTTTTACAAATGTTCCAGCCAGAAAGAAAGAACATGCTTTTTTGCCAAACTAACTCATAGTTAGTTATACATAGTTAGTTATACTTGGATATTGATTGAAAAGCAGTGAGAAGATAGACTAGCTAGTAGTCATCCTAAGGCAAGATTTAAGTTCAATTTTAAGAGAATGTTGTGATTTTTTTTTTTATTTCTAGTTCCCTGACTTTATATAATGGTTTTGTCACTAATTGTAAACCTATTGGTGAGAGACTACTACATCACCACATAATTTTCTCACTATAGTCTGCTCGAAATTTTCAATGGAACAATCATTTTTAATTTATCACAACTAGTGGTTTATTGGTACGGTAGACAACAATACGATAATCTTGAGATAGTTGATTTGAATTCCTCAAAATTTCAAATATATTATTTTTCAGGCTCCTTTTTAACATAAAAACACCGCGAATACTATATACTACCTATTAAAAAACTAGTTATTTGAAGAGAATATACTAATTTGTTACGCTCTAAAACGGTAAGGCAGCCCAACTCAAACAAACAAACATATAGTAATATCTTAACAACCAAACGTGATCCTAGATTTCACGTATCAACTAACCCCCCAAATCTACCCAAAAAAATAACCCCCCAAAATCTCTAACGTAATATCGTCGTCATACACATCTCAAACCGAATCAAAAGTAACGCTCTAGCTAGCTAGCTTGCTCTTCCAAACTCCATTGCAGCAACAATGGAGTCCTCATCACCACACAAACCCACCTCCGTTCTACCCAAAACAACGATCCCACACAACAAAAGACCCAACACCACCACCATCCTCCACAAACTAAGGCAAAACTTGGCTTATCAATCCATATGGGCAGAGCTCAATGGCGCCATGGGAGACTTGGGCACATACATCCCCATCATCCTCGCCTTAACCCTCTCCCGCGACCTCAACCTTGGCACCACGCTGATCTTCACGGGAATCTACAACGTCGTAACGGGGGCCATTTACGGCGTCCCGATGCCCGTAGAGCCCATGAAATCCATAGCCTCCCTGTCCATAGCCAGTAACGGCACATCGTCGTCGGAGGTGTTTGGGGTGCCGGAGATGATGGCTGCAGGGATCTGCACCGCGGGAGCCATGTTGTTCCTTGGAGCAACGGGGCTCATGAACTTGATATACAAGCTCATCCCACGTTGTGTGGTGAGAGGGATTCAGCTCTCTCAGGGGCTTTCCTTTGCGCTCAATGCAGTGGAGTACATCAGAAAGGAGCAGGATTTCTCCAAGCCCAATTATGGAAACGGGGAGAAGAGAGGTTGGTTGGGGCTTGATGGGTTGATACTGTCCATTTTCTGTGCTTGCTTTATTGTGATCGTTAGTGGTTGTGGTGAGGCAGGGGAGGAGGCAGGGGAAGAGGCAGGGGAGGTGATTATAATGGAGGTGGAGAATGGTGATGGTGGTTGTGATGAGAGGGAGAGAGCTGCGAGGAAGGTGATTGCTTCATTGCCTTCAGCGTTTCTGGTGTTTAGTTTGGGAGTGGTGTTTGCATTCATAAGGAAGCCGAAGATGGTTTACGACATACGATTCGGGCCATCTCGAATGGAGGTGGTGACGATCTCGAAACAAGCGTGGAAGACCGGGTTCGTGAAGGGGACGATCCCTCAGCTGCCGTTATCGGTGTTGAACTCTGTGATCGCGGTGTGTAAGCTGTCCAACGATCTATTCCCCGCGGGGAAGAGACTGTCTGCAACTTCGGTATCGGTGACTGTTGGGGCGATGAACTTGGTGGGGTGCTGGTTCGGGGCAATGCCGTGTTGCCATGGAGCTGGAGGGTTAGCTGGGCAGTACAAGTTTGGAGGGAGGAGTGGCACTTGTGTTGTGATTTTGGGGGTGGTGAAATTGGGTTTAGGGTTAGCGTTGGGGAGCTCACTTGTGGTAGTACTGAGGGAGTTTCCAGTTGGGGTTTTGGGGGTTTTGTTGTTGTTTGCCGGGATCGAGCTCGCCATGGCTTCGAGGGACGTGAACTCGAAGGAGGATGCTTTTGCTATGCTTGTGTGCAGTGCTGTCTCGCTTGTGGGATCGAGCGCGGCTCTAGGTTGTCTATGTGGGATTGTGGTGCATTTGCTGCTGAAGCCTGACAAGGTGGTGATGATGGTGATCAAGTTGGTTTGTGGTCTTAAGAGACGTTGTTGTTAAGGTAGTGAATTGAAATGGATGATGAGAAATTACTTTGATTTGCATGAATGTTTACCTAATTTGAACTCTTTGAAATTTTTCATTTTCAATTACTATAGTAGAGTAGAACATACAGTATCACATAGGATATACAATATACAAAAGCTTGAAGCTAACAAAGAGAACCTTGCTCAACTCCTGCCTGACTTGTATCACACGCAATCATAGTAAAAGGCTTAGTATGCATTCTGAGTTGCCTAGCTAGTCATGCTATGCTGGCAACATTGGTTGGTTGCTCCTCAATCAAATCATGTGAGGACAAAAAGACATGAAGAAATACAATAGAATTCCCAGAACAATAGAAGCCAATAGTTCTTGGTGGTTATGATCGAATTCTAAGATGTTACCTTAGGCTGGAATCTCGATTGGCCATGTAATGAAATACTATCAATCAGCAATGTCAGGTACTCTGTGTCCATTTTGTAATTCGAGCTTATAAGAGAGTGTCATGTTCTATCCAAACGGGTTTCCTCCCCTTGACGGGAGTGAGTTCTGGCGGACATGGAACGAGTTTCCTCCACCAGGTCGTTGTTGCTGAACCATATTCAATGAAGCAAAAGGGTCCTCACCACTGCCAAAGCTACCTCCTTGCTGCCTGCAAATGATATGCACAGAAATGACACAAATTTCTCACATTAATTTCTCCCATGTAAACTTTCTTTGGGCCTAAGAATCCACGTATGAGTTATGGAACCAAAGATGACAACTAAGAAGAGTTGAGGAGCAAAATTCTAACCTAGAATGTGACACATTCAAATGCGGTTGGTGCTCAATGTATGGGCCTGAAGTATTGAGAGAAATGAATGAAGCATTTGCAGTCATGTAGGTGACTCTGGATAAAAAAATATGGGCATGTGAAGATTATAGGATTTACCAGAAGAGATCGTCGATTGAAATGGGAAAGATTGGGAAGGGATTTGAGAAGCATCCGGGATCATAGCTGAAGAAATGTGACCCATGCTGGAGCTAGGAAACAAGTTGGGACGATGTGGCACATTAGAAGGTGGTGCACCTCTAAAGTTCCCCATGGTAGGATACTAGAACGAGAAACATAACAAGTCATCAATTAAGTGTTGCCACACTCCCCAATTTTCCAAGGTAAACAATCCTCAGAAAATACCCTGAAAGAAGGCTTTATTTTACGCATACCGGGTGTGTTTGTCTCTGAGAGTTGTCATCAAATGGATTTGTTGACTTCATGGTGTTGGGGTATGCCATGACTTGCTGCCCAATAACATCAAGATCAGAAGGTTGAACTAGTTAAGATTGATTTTTTTTGGTTGCCGGAGGTTACCATTGGATTGTGATAATATTGCGTGCCAAAGCTCATGTCATATGGACTACTACCATACTGCCAACTTGATGAAGGTCCTGGTGTTGGCATGAAGCTTGATGCAAACAGGTCCTGTGGAAAAAATAAGGAGATGTAACCATTAAAAGTCTGAATAATTTTATCAAGCAGTCAATGCAAATATAAGGTTGTGGCTATTGTTTACCACAGGAAGTTCCTGCCTCCCACTAGTCTTTGTTTCTAAAGCAATGGTAGATGGTTTCTGAACCCCAGAGTTAGATTCTTTAGCTGGTTGGGAGATTTGTTGTGAAGCATGTTCAACTGAAGTATCTGAAGGTCCTTGCTCATTACATGTTTCTGTGGAAGTAGATGACTGTGGAGAGACATAATAAGCACAAACTAGACCACAAATATGTTTTTTATGTTCATCACCCTAGATCTTTTATCAACTTGACTATAGTCTTCTTCCTGAGAAGAAAAGAATGCTAATCTAACCTGTTTGTTTGTATCTCCAACAGATGCAGTAGTTGTCTGGCCTTGTCCAATAGAGCAAACAACTATAGAAGGTATCATGTGATTCATGTCTAGTTTTTCTTGTTGCTTAACCTTGTCGCTGTTGTGAGTTGTAGAAGAGGATTCGTGAAAAGAGTCAGATGTAGCTTCTGATGTGCCACCTCCATTGGAAGGTTGCACAGACAAATTAGCAGTTGGTGGAAATGGAGAAGCATTGAAGGCCTCAAACAATGAGAGTGACTGCCTGTAGGGCTCTGCAGGTGAAGATCTTTCAGATCCGTCACAAGGTGCCTGTAATGTTTGATCCAACGACTCGGCCACTGAAACATTATCTGCAGGCAAGTTCCGGGAAGATTCCAGCATTGAAGATCCAGGATGATCACATGTAGCTGATACCCCTATGGAGGTACTTCCATCCGAAGAAGCACCGCCCACAGCAGTATTGACTTCTGATACAATCGATGGATGAGTGTTACTCGCTTCAGAAACATTAGCATCAGATGATGCAACTGGGGGAAAAGACAACTCAAAGAGTAAAAATTCGACAGTGTTCGGCTTTGGTGCTAAAGGTTCTTTCTTCGTGGAGGAATCAGTTGAGTTGTCACCAGAAGGATGTTGTACTGTGGCCAGAGGTGGTTGTTCCACAGGCTGGGAGGGCTTGGAATCATTATTGAAGTCAATCAGACTTTCTAAATTTTGAATTTTCTCTTCTGCAATAGTAGTGTCAGTTGGCGCCTTGCTGGAAGAAGGTGTGACAATCTGCAGAATTACAAAATCATGTAAGCTGCATGTATGTATTTCTCAAACAAAATATTGCCAGCTCTCAAACAAGGTGTTAGAAATGTGGAAGAAAAGTTTCCTTACTACTAATAAAGAAGTTAAATTTGCTCACCTCATCAACTTCCTTCCCTTCACTTATCTCAGACTGCTTGGCTACTTGTACCGCTAGGACATTTTTAGCAGGAGGTAACGCTACTGATTTAGACCCATCAATGGTTTTCTTAGATACAGGTGACCTGCTTCGACATTCAGATCTGGATTCTTTGCGTGATAACCTACCGCCATCTGATGGCTGGCCACTTCTACTTTCATTGTCTCGAAACCTATCATCAACAACCTCAAAGCGAATAGGGGATTTCTTAAAGTCTCTGCCATATTTTGAACTTTCTTGGATATAGCTAGGACTTCTCATTTCGTCGTAATAATATTTGAAGCTTCTGTCAGCACTCAATCTACTAGAACCATATCTGTCACGAACATATCTCTTGTCTTGGAAACTCGGGCTTCTGGTTACCTCATAGCTAGGACTTCTAGTTACCTCATAACTAGGACTCCTTGTCATCCCAAGACCCGAGCTTCTGGCTATCGTGTAACTTGGACTTCTCCCATAATAAATACCACCACCTTTCCTTCCGTCATAGCGCTCATCGTTATCACCCTACATCAGAATAGGAGGAATTCAAAAGAAGTAGTCTTTATGTTGCTTGATGAACAAGAAAGCTCAAAAAGACCAAGAGATATGTATTTCAGTATTATTTTGGTGGATTTACCACTCTCGGCCTTCTAAGCTTCTCATTACTTCTTTCCCCAGTATATTTTCTTTCAACATAAACATGCTTGATGAAATCCCTGAGTTTGTGAAGGTCGCTGAAAGTGAAACACAAGAATTAGACAACACAGAATTACTGAAGTTTCCGATTATTCAATATAAAATAGTCATATCCACCTGCCATCAGGATAAGAGTTACGATGTTCATCCCAATATTTAAAATAAATTTGCCTTGCCCTCTACAAAAGAGAACACATTTAAGTTAGACTAGGACTATAATGTTCTGGCAAATGTTGCAAAAGTCTGTTAATCCAGAATAAGCAGACCTCATTTCCCCCAGTCTGAAGAGCATTGACTTCTTCATATGAAAATTTCGCCATGGACACTGATTTGACACGATGAGTGAATTCCCGACTGAAATTATAGAGTGTAAAGTTATTGTCCCTTACTCAGAACCAAAATGGGAAATAAGCTTTGACCACATTTTTCTGAAATTCCAGTAATTTGGAAAATTTTGTGCAAATATAGGAACATAGGATAGGATAAATAAAACAAGATCTAAGACTTACTGCACACCACTGCAATTTGTGCAAACGAATGTCAAGAAGGTTGTGCATACATATTGCGGCCCCTGTAAGAAGAGAAGCATAATTACACAAAGTTAAAAGATTGGAATAATTGTTGGTTGGCTAGTACACAATGCAAGAAATGGTACAAACAGGGTACCCTCCTGCTAAACAAGACATGTAACGTAGTAAACCACTCCTTCAGAATATATTTTCAATGCCAATTTCAATTGGGTCATGCATTAGGAAGCCTCAAACATATAATCAATAATACAATGATGCAATTTGCAATGAATACCCCAAATCTTAATCTAGCTAACCTCTGGATACCAAAGTCCAAACTAATATTCGCCCCTAATCCATTGACATTTTTAACAAAGATCATATTAACAGGACAAATCATCCTCGATTATCAAAGGCCTGATACCATGTCAAAACCAATTCGTGCCCGTGTACTTTTAAGAGTACCCAAAATGCATGGTGTATCATCCACAGCCAACTTCATTACCCTAATGCAAAACTAAACTTCATTCAACAACTGGGTTTCAAAAAAGGAGCAGTTTTTTTCCTGAACATACCAAGCTGTTGCAATTGATGCATCTCCGATTCTCGGGAAGCTTAAGAAGACCACGAATGATCTTCTCAATTTTGTCCTCTTCCTTCTCTTTCTTCACCATTGGAATAAGCAAGCCGTGCCTTCGTCTATCTGTTTGAAAGAACAAGCCAATGAAAATATCAAGTTTTAGGGTTGCTTAGGAACAAAAGAGAAACACCCATTGACGTTTGTTGTTGTTCTAAGAAATTGGAAGAAGCAAACCTGACTTTGAAAGACAGGAAATAGATTATGCAGAAAAACCCTCCAAATTGAGAATGAGGGGAGACGGGAAGGTGAAAGGATTTGACAGGAATCGAGGGTTTAGAGTCCGCCATGGGCGGAAATTGAATGGGGGATGGTGATCCAAAACTGCAAAAGAGAGGGAGAAATTTGGGGAGAGAAATATTTCCGGGTGTCAACGGTTAGTTAGAGGTCGCTACCTTTCTTTTTTGTTTTGAGTTGTTTCTGCCTCTGGGCTACGAGAGAAGAGTCAATTATGTAAATACTAAATAGTATAGGCAAATTTGACATCAACATATTGATGGTTTATTAGCATAGAAATAATTTAATTTAATTGATGAGATGCATTTTTGGGTGAAGATGAGAAGTTTTACAAAAACTCTAAAGTTAAATATGTTCAATGTACAGCGGTGCAAAAGTTGGTTGCATCTCAGTAGGAACCAATGATGCAGCCAAAAAACAAAATCATACAATGTAAACCCAAAACTAACAATATTTTTGTCAGCAAAAAAATTCGAATGTTACAATATTTTTCCTTTTGCATATTAATTTCAACTTATCTGTTCCCATATGATCGTTTTAGTGGAACAATTAAATCGTATTGTACTACCCTCTATTTTCACTTTCAGTTCGGTAATCGAGATAACACAATAATATATAATATCTTGTATGTAAAATATAGAGATGAAAGAGATTGGTTTCCAAAGACAGAATCAATGAATCATACAAGTGTAGTTGAGAAGAAAAGGTATGAACTTTTATTTTGGGCTTCAATGCAGTTGAAAGTTTTCAACGATAACTTTGAACTCTCACGCATTAATTGAACATCTAATATAGAAATTATCATAAACTAGTCCAACAAATACTAAATATTTCGCTTAAGAGTGGCATGGTCCCATGACAAGAGGGGTAGGGCTGCAAATGAGTCAAGTCGCTCGCGAGTAACTTGACATTAGAATTGAAAAAGATTCGTTGGACTAACCATTTAAATAGTATATTTATTACAAACAAGAAACTTATATCACCCCTTATAAAAAAAAGGGTAAATACATTTTAATATCCAAACCTTTCATTTTAAACAATATAATAGCCAAACCTTTTCGAAAACAATTTAATATCCAAATCGTCAACTTTCTGTATGTTAGACCGTTAGTTGACACTTCAAAAAAGTTCGAAGTACGACACTTCATCAATATCCATCGATATCTTCTCTGAAAAACCACCAACATATCGTAGTTCCAAACCCGAGAAGTCCATGACTCCACCATGATGGTGTAGAATATCTAAATATTCAGTCATCTGCAATGCCAAAACAAGAAAACAAAGTTGTATTGTGACAATTTCCCCTAAACAAAGCTTTCTTGAAGTGTCAACTAATGGTCAAACGAACGGAAAGTTGACAATTTGGATATTATATTGTTTTCGAAAAGGTTTGACTATTATATTGTTTAAAATAAAAGGTTTGAATATTAAATTGTATTTATCCAAAAAAACAACAAAGAAATCGAAGCCTGCAGACTAACCATTTAGCATTTGTTTCAAACTTTTCTATATTCAATTTAAAGGGACTTTTAATGAAACAAGCTGACTTCGTTCCTGGTTGACAAACAATCAAACCAATTCGAAATCAACACAATCCATCTCTCTGCTGCTTCTATCAATCCTCGAACCGCAATGGCAAGTACAGCATCGCGATAGCTCGCAACCAGCAAAAACAATCCATCTCAATGGGATACTACGGGGTCGTTTGGAAATTGAGATAGTTTTGTTGAGATCGTCATTATGCATATATTGTTTACAATGCATCGTTTTTTTGTTTTTGTAGCAGAAACAATACGTGGATTGTTTCTGTAATGTGACAAAAACTATCACTCATTTTGAGTGATTGTTATATCCCAACTTTTAGTTGTGATTGTTGAGATAGTTGAGTTGAGATTGTTTTGTCTCAGCTTTTAGCTGATGCGACATACACAATCACATATCAAACGTTGTATTCTACAATGCATCAAATTCGACAATACATGTATAATATTATACATGCATTCTCAACAATACATCTATTTGACAATCGCAAACTTCCAAACAATGCTACATCTTTCATTTTTCAGTATCAGTGAGGATACATTCAACAAATGCCAGTCCCGTTGGATCAAGAAACTCAGCAACTGTACAAAGGCAGAGCCATGGAAACGAAAAGCAAGGCTAGGGACATCATCAGACATCAACAACAGGATCTCTTTTCATTTGCCTCCAAATTTCACCTCTATGAAAAATTAGAAAGAACAAAGAAAAAAAAAGGATAATTTACTTACACAACTTGTTCCCCCTTTTTTCCTGCCCCTATTTCCCGAGATATGTTCTTCACCATTGGTACATATCCCTAACCCTAAAAATGATTTTTTTTTTCTTCTTTTTTCGAATGAACAAACGCTCCCCGAAACCTGCAGCAGCATTTCAATCTATCTACCAAGCAACTCTTCTCAAACCTTTTTTCTTACCTCCTCTCCTTCTCTACTACCATACCAAGGAGTGTTGTATTATTTCGGCTAAAGCTGCTATCTCAGGCATCAAGGCTAAAGAAGGTGAAGAAGAAACAGAGAACCCTGGAGAAGGCTAAAAAGTAAAGAGGGAGGAAAAGTGAAAAAATCTGTACAAAAGGAAAATCCAGGCCCAAAATTCCAGCAACACCCCTCACCAGTCACGTCCAGGATGGATCATCAGTGCCACATCGAACCGGGTTCACGAAACCACCAAGGGAGTAGCCAAACGCGTACCTCGGTACAAGACCACCACCACCATTGTCCCCCTCTCTAACCAGGGCTATATGCAAAAACCAAATGCAGAGTTCACACTCCACAGGCAACCCTCTAGCTGCCAAAGTTCCCAAAGAAAGAATTCCAAACCTCGTATATCATAGGTCGTCATCGTTTGCATCCTCTGAGGAAGCTGCCTTAATAGCTTCGGCTGTCATCAGGGCAACAACAGCCTTGTGGATAGCTAAATCAGCCCTGCAGAGTAGTCTCTGAGCTTTCTCTCTTTTGAACTTGGCCACCTTGAGAGCATGTTGAGCTGCACTAGATGCATCACGAGTTCGTAATTCTTCAAGATCCGAGCCTTCCAATTGGTCAGGCATGTGCTGAAGAGACCAGTCTAGATGGGGATCAGGTTGTCGTTCGTGCGGCCAGTGATGAAAGCTAGTATTCCTTTTCATAAACATGCGCTGATTGAATGAAGGTACCATCTGAGGTCCCATAGGGGATAGAGTTGAAGTCCCCACCACTTTCTTCGATTTGCTTCTCTGAAATTTCTTCTGCAAGTGGTGGTATCTATGAGGATTGGGGTAAAAGTAGCCCGAGCTGCCTGCATCTGCTTCCCTTGGTGAGAAAAAACTTGGTGATCTCTGAGGTAATGGAGAATCGTCCATGGAGTCGTAATTGTGTCCTAAATGTGAAACCCTCTCGTCGCCAGATGCAAAGCCGTTCATTCGTCTGCCTGCTACAACAAAACCATTGATACAGGTCAAGGACAAGACAAGGACTTAGATATGTGTGGAAATAACAAACCCATCAACTTAAAACACATCTAACCCAAACCCATTGACTCAAAATCAATTAGGTTGGTGGGTGAACGGGTAGGATTCGTCTGTAAAATTATTTTAGACCTAAAGTTTTGGTGCTTTGCATTTTAGTTACCAAGCTTTTCGTATACTAAATGAAGTTCTGCACCTAAATTTATAATAAGTGTAAGGGATTTGAGACTTGCATAGAAGTACATAAACTTCAGAATTTTCCAACCTGGGCCAGGAATTAAATACAACTTTCGCTATCCCATCTCAGGGCTGACAAAGGTAAATTATGTATCCCATCCTTCTGCTACCAAAAAACTAATCCAGCTCTGCCATTTTGAAACTTTCGTAATCAAAGTTATAAACTTTACCCAGAAGAAGCCTTGGACTTTAGCAAAATGATGGAAATACCCACCAAGCCACATAAAATTTTCAAGTGAATGTCATTGATCCCAATGAAATACGAAACAACACCTTTGCCACCTCTAATATACAGCAGAAGAATAAAAAAGTGAAATGCTTACCGTAAGCATGAAAACCGTCGTGATAGACGGAAAAGGCATTGCTTTGCCCAGAAACTGAGAATTTCTTGTGTGACCTATGTTTTGACCCTCGGTTGGGTAGATCCAAACCTCGTGGTTTCAGGCAAAATGCAAACATTGGTGGCTTCTCGCATTGAGCAACCTTCTTAGAGCAACCATTTGAAGGGACATTTTTTGCCTTCGCTTGCTCCCACTCTCTCACTTCTTGTTGATATCTTTCCCAACGCGGTGGCTGAACAAAACCCGACATTTTCCATTTAATGTTAGGCAACAATGCCATTTATGTTGTATATCTAAGTCTTAGATAAAGAAACGTGAATCTGCATGAAGTTGCGTGATCTAGAAATATCGCAGGACAACTCTGAGAAGAATGTGGTCCTTATGTTCTATTAAGAACATACATAGCAGTAATGGAACAAAATATAACAGCGTGCACGTAAAATGAGAGCAGATGCTTCTACTAGATCACAGTAAACACGTCAGCAAGTGTATAAGATAAGAGGAGCTGCCCCCAACAAAATTTGATTCCACTCAAAGAAAGACTTTTAAGACAAACAAGAAGAAATAGAGACCGTATAGAAAGCCAGAGAGTATGCATTGGTGATGTTAAATCTGAAAAGAATAGTGGGGTCTATTCCAGAAGCATACAAAGTCAACCAACGTACCACACAAGATAAACTGAGACCAAAATGAAGGGAAATAGACAAGGAAATGTTCATCAGAACCATTTGAAGCATATATGCAAGGAAAAGTTGCTCATTCATAAGAGAGAACCTGATGAATCACGTTATGCAAAATCAAAACACTAGTTCAACTGAGGAAACTAATATTGACCTCAGGGATGTAACTGACAGCCCACTAGCCTCGTACACGCAACTGGAACATTAATTCATCATTTGGATTTTGCCTACATCATTCACCTAATTTAAACAGCAACCCTTGGAACATCAGAACCCCGCAACATCAATTTCCTAGTCACGACCCAAGAAATAACCGAAACAAAAGACATGCAAGACAGCATTCATTTTGTATCATCAAGCACCACCAAACTATATCATTGGCATCTCAAGGAAGAAAGCAAGCAGAAAATATTCAGCAGCTACCTCAAGGTGCCGAATCAGTGGCATTCCCTTCCTACTTCTCTTCTGGTGCCAATACTGAAAAACCATCCTGATTACTTCAATAGACGCTACACCACCCATGAGATCATTTACTTCTTCAGCACTAAAATGGACACATTGCCGAGAATATGCAGCTTTCTCACATGTGTCCATGATTTTCTCAAGAATATCTTCGGAAATCTCCATGGAACTGTCATTTTGAACTGCTAGGGCACTACACGTTTCTGACATCCAACGCTCATCATCACTATCAATGTCATACAGCACTCTGGATGGATTCAAAGCCATCTCAACATCAGTTTCCTCCTGACAAAAGTACTTCGAGGTTCTCAGAAATGGTGCTTCTGCTACATGACTCTCATTTTCCTCTATCAATCGAACACCAGGAATTGGAATATTTTTCACCAATGCCGCCCGTACATTCCGATCATAACACTCTTCGTGCATCTCTTTGAAAAGAGCCCACTGGCTCCTGTCAGGAAACTCCAATATCCATTCTTTCCCTCCTTTCCACATCATAGCATGTGTAAACCGGTTTGTCGAACCAAGCTGCAGGAATTGATGTGGCTTGTATGAATACTTTGTGGTGCCGGAGAGTTTCACAGCAAGCCTCCACTCACTGTGCTCAAAAAGTTCCAGCACAACCTGTACACCACTCTCTCTCCAACCTTTATCACCAACAGTTAGCAAAAGGTTTACATCGCAAGACAACGAATCTAGGTTCTTTTCAGGGGCCCTCGAAGTATCAGAAGACCTCCTCTCGTTTGAAGTCCTAATTCGCTTATGTGGATGCATTTTGTGCTGATGACCTTTACCTCTGGAGCTAAGATCAAAACCACCCGAAGGAAAAGCATAATTCACCTGTGTACGTGGCTTCTTTGGTCCATTACCAAAGTTACTCTGAAGAAAATCGGACTTTCCTTCTGACCATCCATGCGCAAAGCCTCCAAAAGAAGCTGAACTGCTTCTACTTCGATGCCATGTACTTCTACGTGCGGTAGGGTTAGGGCTGGGAATAACACCACTGTTCAAATTCCATGACAAATCGCCACAAGATTGTTGCACATGTGAAACACCATCAACATCTTTATCAAATTTATCAGAAGGGATTTCAACTGTGATTCCATTATGAAGAGAAGGGGAAGGAGATTCTGCATGGAACTTGGCTTCATCTCCAGCAGATGACGGGCGCAAGATTTTATGTTGTCCAGAATCCAAAGGCTGAGACGGCAGCTCGTACTCTGCATCATTCCCCGTGTTCACAGTCTCCTCAACGACAGAAGAAGATCCAAGAACATTTGTACCACTGTTGGACTCCAAAAGGGAATTCATTGCATCCCTAGAATGAGATATAGAGACTTCATCAGAACCCATGTCCCTTGACACAGCCTTGAGTACCTTACGAGAATTGCTTTCAGGAGTTATAATTGAGCACTCTCCCACGCAAGACTGGTCCTCCACTAGCAACCTGCCACTCGTTTCAGGATCCCCCTCCGAGCAATGATCTTGAAATCCGATGCGAGTCAGAGTGTGCTCGATAAGCAGCCTACGATGGAGTCCTAGAAAAAAGGTAGGTGCAGCAGTAAAGGAGAGAGGCATCGGAGGAATAAATCTTTGGTCCCTCTCAGGGTCGACATAGTGACTAGCTTTGCCGTGTCTCGGCTTTCTAGGAACACTCGTGAAACTAATCTGCTGCCTGGACCTCCTGCTGGATCCCTGTCAATGAAATAAAGAGAATTGAGAAATTGGACAAACAACTTGCTTTGCAACCTATGCCAATGAAACTGCAACTCCCCATTTTATCAGCTCATGGCAAGTACCATATATCTGAAAGAACAAGGTAGAATAGAGACCAAATTTCTGATCACAGTGCAATAACAGAAAAAGAGACCTCAAACATACCTTAATTGTTCTGGTGCCGTTCAAAACAGAAGCAAGTAGCCCATCTCTACCATTTTGCAGATCCTTAATGTTGGCATAAGTACATTGCGACAGAGGCAGTTGCCGAGAAAGTAGACAATGCTTGTTTATTTTACGCTCCAGGAGTAGCCAACTAGAATTTTCAAGCTCGGAGAATTTATGAAACAGAAATGCAAGCTGTCTCCCAACATAACTAGTACACGAGAACTTGAATCTAATTGAAGTCACTGGCAACTCTAAGTGAATAGACTTCCCAGGTTCATCAGGTTTACCAAATATGTTAAGGACAACAAGAACAAATGCCACAGCTTGCTTCAAGCATCCTTCAAAAAGTAGAAACCTCAATCCCACTACATTATCTACAATAAGCATCTCCAGTTGAACCCTTGGCAACATAGTCATCAGTTGCCCATACTGAAGTAGCAATATAGCATGGGACAAAGAGATGCTCAGCTTACTGAACGAGCGACTCCGGAAAGCTGGTACTGGGCAACGCAACTTAAATGTGAAATTTCTTGACAGTATAATTGCGAAATTCAACTTCAAAATTCCAGTACTACCAATTGACCACAGTGAATCAACAGGCACCAACTTGTCAAACGCCACTTCAGAATATAAAGGCCTAGCATAATTATCAGGAGCAAGAGCACCAGTATTCATGCGATTGACTTTAGAATCATGACACGCCCAAAAACTTCTCTTACGAACCCGCCTCCTGGAGTAGACAATTGGAGGCTTTCTGTCGTTGTTACACAAAGGACTCCCTGTGGCACATAACTCACTCCTAGACGTGGCTGGTTCATCTGGAAGAGTAGAACTAAAGGACTTTCTGGCTGTTCCAACACTCAGAGACTCTCCGTCCTTGCAGTCACAACCAACTGTAGTATCCCTAGTCAAAGATTCCCCACAACTGGGGTGTTCACAGGACTTGTTCTCCTTCTCTCTAGCACAAACTGGAGAAGATTTCACTCTTCGAGATGAACGAGCCAACAACGAGATGATGGGCTCTGAATCCATATGATTACCAACCAAGCTATCAACTTCCGCCCTCATTTTCCTCTTGCTATCTTTACTGTGATTCGACTTACTTTCACTTACAATGGTGTGTTTCCTCCTTGACAAGGATCTTCTTCGGTGGTTTCTGCCTGGTGCTTCACTAGGGAACAGTAAGAGTTTGAACCTCTCATTCTGAAGATTGATCCACTCCTCGTCACGGTCATCATACTTGACATGATGAAGCTTTCTCTCATTGTCATAATCACTAACAAGGCCATAATACCAACTTTCGTCCAATGGCCAAAATACTTTGATTCTCCTATTTAATACCCAGTGTGCATCCAATTCACCAGAAATAACATCATAAAAATGCCGTCTCTTCCTAACACCACTCTTCTCTTTGAACTGCTTTCTCGGTCGCAAAACTCTAACAGCACCATCACCAGGAGCAGAATCTGAAGCAGAGGCATAGCTACCTCCCCGAGCTACAAATTCTTTACCAGAGGACAATGGATGATTCAAGCCATTGGTAGGCGGTAGAGATGAGACTTTCTTCTTCGACAAG